TTACTGTCTCTGGACTTCAGTGCCACATCTGTGTCACTCCATTATTTCAATACTTTGAAAGGTAGGAGTTTCAGATTGCTCACTGGTTTCAACAGTAGGATCTGAACCTTGGTATCACGGTCTGTAAATGGGGATAAAATACCTTGCAGAGTTGCTGTGAAGACTTAGAGATGGTGAGGATGGTAGTAGCAGCTAAATCGATCATTTAGTTTCATCCTTACTACAACAAAGCAGGTATGATTAGCATCCAGGATCACGGATGTAGACTCAAAGGACAGAGAGGCTAAGCTGTCTGCCCAAAGTTACGCAGTTGTAAGCAGTGGCACTGAATGATACCTCCAGGCGGCTCGATTCCAGATCCCGTGTTCTTAACTGTGATTACACAACTCTGTCCTCAGACCAGGAACATAGAAAGTCCAGCTCAGTCCCTGCACAGATAGCTGCTTAGTCAAGTGGAGGTGCTCAGAATGCTCTTCGAAGTGCTTTTGGTCAGGCTCTTTAGCCCCGTCTGTGTCTTCTAATTCCCAATTGGGGTGGTTCTTTCCCCCTCTCTGATGGCCAACTCCTCCTTTTAAAAACACCTATTTATTGCCTTCATCCGTGTCCCTCCCCCCCCCCCACACTTCCAGAAGGTCCTTCCCTCCTAGTGGCCGAGCTTGATTTTGCAGTTTACTGTGGGTTACAGTAGGTATAGTAGGTAGTAGGTGGATACCTACTATTATTTAAAAAAAAAAAAAAGAGTTGAAACTTGTACAACCGAAACTAATCATTGAAAGTATACGCTTTGGTGAGTACATTCACATTGTGGCCCAGCCACCTCCTCCGTGTAGTTCCAAACATTTCATTACCCAAAAGGGAACCCAGTGTCCATTAGCAATCACTATCCCTTCCCCCTTCTCCAAGCCTCTGGCAACTATAAGTCTGCTCTCTGTTTTTATGAATTTCCCTATTCTGGACATTTCATACAGAGAATCATACTTTCTGTTCTTTTTTATGGCTGAATAGTATTCCGTTGTGTAGCTAGACCATGTTTTGTCTGTCTTTTCCTCTGTTGATGGACCATTAGGTTCCCACCTTTTTGGCTGTAGTGAATGTCCCTTGAGTCCTAGTCCCAGGGTGAGCTCATTCCTAACCCTTCTCACTGAAGGTCTGCTGAAGCCGGGTGGGAGAAAAGGGAGCAGACCTTACAGGCTGATGTGCCCGGGCCACTGGTCTTGGCTTTGTATACTTTATCTGGTTTAACTTCTGTCCAAAGGACAGTGCAAGTAGGCAAGTGCTCTTTTTATCTCCAGCCAAGGCATCTCTTTTCATCTCTCCCTCCTTGGCCTGGGGCAAGATTATACCCACCTGGAAACTCCTTAGCTGTGCACTCTGAGCCAGTGACCTCTTCTGTAATATGGGCATCCTAACTCATGTTTTACAAGTTGTTGTGAGGACTGCATGAGACGGGACTATGGAATTTGCTAGCTTCTTTCCCTGCCAGGATTTGGAACTGCTGGCTCAGGGCACTCACACATAGGACGATTTAGTCCTTGTAGATACATATCCGCCAGTGCCTTTTTGGGTCCTCTTAGAAGCGGAAAGAGCTGAGTATATTCCCCATCACCATGATTAACTGTTATGCTGGAAAGTTGTCCCCAACTTCCTTTTTCTGCAGTTAGTTTTGGTGCTTAGGGTCTGAATCTGGGGAGGTTGGTCCCTCCCCTCTCCCATTTCACCCCAGGCAGAACTAGGCTTTGAGCTAATTTTAGAAAGATGAGCTTTCTGTTGACTGTATTCTTTTAAAAAGCACAGTCCTCCCTCAGTATCTATGGGGGATTGGTTCCAGGACCCCAAAATCTGAGCATGCTGTCTGGGACCTTTACATAAAATGGCACAGTGTTTCCATATCACCTGTGCACATCCTCCTGTGTACTTTAAATACCTAGTACAAGTGAACCTGTGTAAACAGCGGCTACACTGTGTTTAGGGAATAATAACCAGAAGCCTGTGTATGCTCAGTATAGTTGCAAAGCATCGTTGGCCCCACTGCAAAGTACATATTTTCCACCTGTGGAGCAGAACCGTGGGTAGGGAGGGGCATCTGTCTTCAAGCCAACTATCTTGGGGGGTGTTGTTTGCAAGAGTTGTATTGTGGTGAGTTGTATTGTGGTCAGTGTGGGCTTTGGAGGCCAGGACTTGCATCCTCCACTCTCCCCCTTATGGACCTGGCCTGAGGCCCTACTCTGATGGGAGGTCATTGGCCTTGATCTTTATTCTTCTGTGAAAATGAGAGCTAATGTGAAAATGATTTCCCTAATTTTGTTGTTATTGTGTTAACTAATGTTATTTTGGTTGCAAATGATAGATCACCCAAACCACAGTAGTTAAATAATGAGGGGTGTTGCATCTCCCCAGAGGGGAGGTCTAGAGGTACAGAGCCTGGGAGTGGTTGCTTCAGCAGCAAGAGATCCAGGTGTTTCCCCTCTTTCCCTCACTTACCATCCTCAGCAGGTGCTCAGTCTCTCCTCCAGTCATAGAGTGGCTGCAGCAGCTCCAAGCATCAGGGCAGACCCCGTGATGTCTTCCAGTGCAGTTCCTTTTTATGATTGAGGAAGCTCTTCCCCACAAAACCCCTGGCCGACTTCTCTGAGGTTCTCATGTTCCGTGTCTTAGTTTGAGTCCTTTGGGCCAAGATTAGGGAAAAAGGGGTGGGGAGGGTGATGCCAGGAAAGGTGTGGAGCCAGGAAGCCAGGTGATAGCAGGGTGTGAGCAACTGGCCATTGTTGCACCACGAGCCCCAATGATACCAGGCTGCTGTCGCCAAAGGGCACATGGGCCTTTCTTTGGGGAGGGAAGAGGGGCATGGTGGATGGGGGAACTCTGCCTGAATTTGTGGAGGAAAACCTGTACTTTGCTTGCTGAATTTTCTTGTGGGGAGAAGAAAGGAGCACACTTAAAATGGTTTTTAAAATTTACTTCTATATCTTCCCTAAATCCTAGTATATTTATTGCCATTTGCTTTGCAGTGGGAGATGGTGTAGCTGGTGGTTTAGGACACAGGCTGTGGAGTCAAACCCTGACTTCCAGTCCAGGTGCTGCAGCTCTTCAGGTCACCAATGACCTGTGCTGCTTCCCTACTCTTAGGGTGCTTAGAGGATTAAATGAGCTGATACCCGCCAGACTTGGACCAGTACCTGGCAGAGTCAGGGCTCTGTGCATTTGGGGTCATGTGCACCAGGAGGACAGACCTCCTGTGGCTGGTTCACCTGCCTTCCTCTCCCTCCGCCTCAGCCCCGGTGTCCCTCAGGCCCTCTGCTTTAGCTCCCGCTCTTTAGCACAGCGCCTGGCACACGAAGGCCTCTGAAGAGCTTGGTAATGAGTGGTCAGTGCTTTGTACCTCGAATACTTATTGACAGACACGTCTTATTTCTCTTCTTTCCTGCAAAGTTCGAGGGCAGGGCCCAGCTCTTTACTGTTTTCAGGTGACAGTTGGATGGCTGGGTGACTGGACCCGAGGATACAGCACATATATAGATGCACATACAGAGATAGTGGTTTGCAAGGGGTCAGCACTCGACATCCGAAGTCACTGGGTGACCTTGTCTAAGGTTTCCAAAACCTGGCCACCGCTTCCTCCACAGAGCAAAACCAGACAGAAGGACCAGTCAGTGGGCCACCAGCACACGGGATAGGGAGCTGGCCCTTCCTTCTGTGTACCTTATGCATGATGAGAACAAATGTTGTCCTTGTCTTGTACGTTTGATAAATGCAGGTGACTGGGCCGAGAATCAGGCTCCTGGACCCAGCCGGCACGGTCCTGGCCTTGGCTCAGGACCACGGGGCGAGTCTGTACCTCTCTCTGGACCCTAGAGATTGCCTCCTAAGGCTCAGTCTCTCCGCCAGTGGCATTTATTGGATGTCTGCTGTGTGCACCATTCTGGGCGTGCGGCTCAGATGAGGTTTCTGTTCTCCCAGAGTGTACATTTTAGTTGGAGGAAACTGACACTGATGATTGAGGCAGATGTTGAGGAGGAAATGCACCAGTGATAGTATGGAAAGGGGGGGAGCACATTGTCATTGGGTTGGTGGAGAAGGATTTGCTCAAAGGGTGGCTTTTTAGCCCATGGCCTGGGAGGATCTGGGGCAGAATGTTTTTGGAGGAAGGGACGAATATGTAAAGGCTCTAAGGGGAATCAGTTTCAAGACCATTGCTACAGGCATGGGGGGTGGGTAGGGATGTCAGAGGGGCCATGTGGATTGAGGTTGAGAGTTTGAATTTTATTCAAAGTGTGATGGGAAGTTGGAGAGGAGACTCTACCCCACTAGAGTCCCCCTTGATTCTTTTCCTCTTTACAAGGACCATATTTTGAAAAAGCCTGTAAAGAAGTGTGTTTACTAAACAATAGAACATAAAAACATACAAACCCTGAATTATTTTAGGCTTTTAAATTGTGGGGAAATTATTGATCAGATTGTCTTTGGGGAACTGCTCCCCCTCCCAAAAAAAAAAAAAGATGGCAGATGAGATGCTGTCAACTAAAGTGTCTTTAAAATCCCTCTATATTCATTCTTCTCAAAGCTGCCTGCCTTATCATTTGTAAAGTTTACCGCCATCTACTGATAGAAGGAAGAAGATGAAGAAGATGAATTTTTGCACAATGAAAACCCAGACCCTGTTGTACATCTGGCATTACACCCTACCTTTGCCACTAGAAAATGGCTCTGGGGATGGGATGGTGGTGCTGAGCTGGGGAGCTGCCTCAATGTTGGGCGTATTTGTGGGGAAACACCTATGGGCCACCTATGGGCTGATCGGCCTCCTATAACCTAGTGAGCCTGTTATTGTAATTGACCCACAGCTGCACTGAGTTCCTCGGGTGTTCGCAGAACCTAGCCCCAGCTTCGTGTACTTCTTCACACCCGCCCCCGTGATGCACTTCTCAGCTGCTTTATTTCTGATTTGCATTTTCTGTGGCTGAATGAATCTGCTGACTTCCGTTTTCTCTTTTCTGTTACAGGTCCTGTGCGCAGGTGAATGTGAGTACTGCTCCCCTCTCCTCCATGTGTTGTTCACTACTGCCCCCTGATGGGCACAAGTATTAACGGCAATGTGAAAGTCAGAACAGATTCATTGGCTAAAATTCCCAGTTTTTCTTTAGAGAAGCAGTGTGAGGGTAGAAAAGCAAATGATAGAAAAGAAGTTAATTATGCATCTCTGGAAAACAAAAAAAAATACATTTCCTGAGATTTTTTCCCCCCAACCTATATTCATAGGTGATTGGAAAAAAAACTGGGTTGAAACTGTAATGTAATATGATTTATATTTACTTTATGTGCTGTTATCAGATAAGTATTTTCATGGATTGCTATATTGCTCCATGATTTTTAAAGTCGTGTGCAGGGTTCACATAATCTTTGCAAAGCCAGACATAGTCTTCTGTATATTTTGCCTCCATGTGGAGGGCTGGTGTTCTATTGCTAATTGGTGCTGGTTCATTGAAATCCTCCCTGAAGTAAAGTAAAATAAAAAATAAGGATATGATAGTAAGTTTTTAATGACACTAATATATTCGGTTGAAAGCATTGTCTATTCTGAGATTGTGCCCTTATGAAATTTTTTTTTTTTTTTGGGCCATTAATGCTTTTGTAAGAAGTGAAGATAATAGCAGTTGGTATTTTTTTAAAATGTATCTTTCGGGAAAAATATTGGTAGCTTTTGTCCTCAAAATTTGGATTTTTTTTCCTGATTGGTAAAATCCCAAAGTCTGTGAACCATAGAGATAACTAGAATATTCTTCCAGTGCCATTCAAAAAGGTCTTGCTGAAACCTTCTATAAAGGAAATCTCCATCATAATAGTAATGATGCAAAGTCTTTGCAAACAATGGGCAGAGTTCTGCAATTGCTTTTTCTTCCTCATTAATCAGTTTGGTAAATAAGCTGGAGGGTACCTTGTGCAGACTTGAATCACTCAGCAAAAGAAGAAAATGTCTATGTGTAGAGGGGATATTTTAACCCAGGTAAAGGGGAGATGAAGGAAGCATGATATGCTTTTAAATTCATCAAACTCTGTTGTCTAGCACGGAGGTGGGGTGGTGGTGGTGCCATTTTATGTTTGCATTTTCTTTTTCTTCCCTGTGTTCTAGGCAACAGCTGTGATCAGATTACATTCACATCTACAGCTCACACAATTCATTTCAGCAAGGCAACAGAAAAATTTTCGGTAACACCACTGAGCGATTCGAGTGGCGGGCACCAGTGGCCTTCCACACCAGACAGTGAAGGGGGGCATTTAATCAAGGACCTGACACCTGGGACGCGCTATCTTGTCAACTTTTCAGATGGCTGCTGTGTGGTGCAAACAAGTGAGCAAGACTTCTTTTGTGATAGATGGTTGGAGGTGGGGAGAGGGGATTAGAGAATCTTTATAACTATGGTGGGATAGAACTCATCTTATCTGAACTTCATCAGCAAAAAGCAAGGCTTCTTGTATCTCCTCCCCATTCTCAGTCCCGTTACCTGGTTTGACAGGTCTCCTGGTTACTCTGCTCTAATACTTGTCTATCTGCGCTCTGATCAGAACCAGGGTGACCTACAGCCAAGAGCTGTATTGGAGACCCAGGTTTGCTTCCAAATCTGTCTCTAGCTCTGTGACCCTGGGCGAGTCATTGGTCCTCTTCAACCTCAGTTTCTTCACCTTTATTTAAAAAATTAACTCAAACATGCATATACACACACCTACTTTAAAAACATATTTTTAGATACTTTATTTTTTGAATGATGGGAACATAAAAAACTGCATTCCCAAAACCTCCCAGCCTGTCTGTGAAGCCCAAAATTTAGTTCTTAACACATTTCTCCTTTAAAATAGTGCTGTAGGGCTTCCCCTGTGGCACAGCGGGTTGAGCACAGTGCTGTGGGGCTATCCGCAGCCTCTGCAGTGTGGGTTCGATTCCCAGCTGGCCAGGGAGATTCCCACATGGCGCGGCAGACCTTTCCTGTTGCGCACGCTGCTCCCCTCAGCAGTGTATTTTGGTTGTCTGCCTGTTCTGCTCCCCGCTCTGTCTCTGGTGAATCCTCTCACCCTCCTGTGCCTCTGGCCTGTACCCCAGCTCTTGTATAAAAATAAATAAATCTTTAAAAAAAAAAAACAGTGCTGTGTAGCCTTCCTCATGAGGTTGTGAATCATAAATGATGCAGAGCGCCTGGTGGGATCCTGGCATGTGACCAGTCCCCCACACGGGCAGCTGATGTTCTCGGTGCCTTCACTGACACAGTAGTGGTTGTGTTTTTATCCTCATTACCATCATCATCATTGATTGTAAATGCTACTTGGATGTATGAGGAAGCTCAGGCCTAGAGAGACTTTCTGCATGAAGTTGGTTGAACTGTGGTCACAAGATTCCTCCCTGCCTGCTCCTTCTTCCTTTCTGTTGTTTCCATCCCTACCTGTCTTCATTGATTGGGGAAGTGTTTGCATCTCCCAGGTGCCGGGTAAAACACATCTCTGTGCTGGCACTGGAAGGTCATGCACATGCCCAGCGGCACCATCTTCTCTCTTCTGGGGTCCATCCCAAGGTCCTTGAGAGCAAGGGGCCTCTTTACCCAGCAGACACTGCTATTTCTAGTTATTACTACTCGATCATGGGCGTAATTGAGATGCCTCCATGTTGAGTTTTAACTCTTGTTTAGAATTGTAATGGCTTCTGTTGTTTTAAGATCCCAAACTCTACAGTTGGACAGATGATGAAAGTGAGGTTCAGAGAGGTGCAGTGACTTTGAGTAAAATCACATGCTCTCAATCAGCAGGATTGAATATTCCAGAATTTTGTAATATTCACCGCCAGTGACTTTGCTTACCAGGCCATGGAAACTTAAAAACAATCCCTTCCTTTGATAACACTGTTTTCTAGCTGTCAACAGAGAAACTTGAGACTGAGAGGTTTTAAGGGTGTGGCTCCAAGTCCAAAAGCTGTGGGGCAGGTCCTTGGTGCAGCTAGGGTTGTAAGCCTCATTTTTTTCTCTGTGCTGTACTGTCCTGTGCCATCTTTATGCCATAAAACCTTGGTTCCTCCTCCTGATGGCAGGGTTTGGTCATCGGTCATCACGTGCCTCTCCACGTGTGTCTCAGACTCAGAAGATAGACTTTCTCGGGCCTCCCCGGTGGCGCAGCGGTTGAGCGCTGGGTTGTGAAGCTGCCCGCAGCCTCTGCAGCGCCGGTTCGATCCCCGGCCACCGGGCGAGGGTCCCACATGGCGCGCAGACCTCTGCTGCCGCCCGCTGCTCCCCTCAGCAGTGTATTTTGTCAGTCTGCCTGTTCTGCTCTCCGCTCTGGCTCTGGTGAATTCTCTCACCCTCCCACGCTTCTGACTGTACCCAGTGCTTGTATAAATAAATAAATAAATCTTTTTAAAAAAAAAAAAAAAGACTCACTCTGTAGCTTAGTTCTCTTTGGATCAGTTTCCCCACAGATGTAACCCCACCTTCAAGTCATAGCCAACAGGACGACCTCTAGCATTTTGGTCTTTGTTTTAAAATCTTGTTTCACCAGCGCACATATGTATAGGTGTCTACGTGCGGTTTTTTGAGGGGGCGGGCAGAGGGATAAACAAAAAGAAATGCAATGCTACGATTGCAAATTCGCTTCTGGAAGGTAGTCATATGGAACAGTTCTTATTCTTACATTTCTTTTTAAAATTTGTTTCTTTCCTTTTTCGGGGAAATATTACAATAGAGCCCAGCCCGGTTTTTGGCCTTAAAGCTGTTTCCATTGGTCCAACTGTTGCGACTCTTACCTGGGAAAACAATGACACAGATGCTTCTCAGTACATGTATCGAGTCAGGAAAAAGCATGGGACGGAAGAGCATGAGATTCTCCTTACAAATCAAACACAAGCTAACATCAAAGGCTTGAGACCGGGAACTCCGTACACATTCTCCATTACCCCAGAAATGGACCGTGGCATTCTGGGAAACTCCATGTACATAAATGTCACCACAGGTAAGATAATCAGCTCCCAGAAATGATCTTGGATAATCATCCATTTTCATCTAGTACCCCGCAGCCTGGGCCCTTCCAGTTGCATGTTGCACAGATTGGATTGCATGGTCTGTGGGAGAGTTGTCGAGGTTCTGTGTTGTTTCAAGCCCACGAGTGGGGATAACTGGAACAGTCAATATTAAGGTCTCTTGTGCTCGGAGAGGTTTCAACAACTTCTAGCTGCCCGGTTTAGAGGATCTAATGTCTTTATTGGTTAATACTTTCCATGAAGACTTGGGAGCAGAGACACTCAATTAGGAATGTGTCTTGGTGGTGTCAGTAATTACCAGGCTTCTTGTAAGCTCCCGTGAAAGCTGATGCTGTTTGTATTCCCAGGAGTTACTGGTGGGCACAAAATATGGTAGACGTTACAGAAGAGGGTGTTTCAAAAGAAATTAGAACTTAGTGACATTCAATGATGCTTAGATTTTCATTTGGCTAAAATGTCAGCATCCTGAGCCACCTGTTAGAGCTGCAAATTTAGCTTTTTTTTTTTTAACCCCAAATTGAAAAGACCAGGAAGCCTGATATCATGGAGCCCATGGCTGGAAGTTAGTCCCGCACTGTGCCTTGTGTTTGTGAAGCTGGTAACCCTCCACCCCCAGGGTGGCCAGTTGTTTTTTTATTTTAGTGAGGAAGCTATTTCCTTAAACCAAATCTGCCCAAAAGCCCAATAAGTAAAATGAGAGAGGAGCTATAGGGGTGGGTGTCATCCGGGTCTTTGGAAATTCCTGGGGCTCCTCAAGGCAGTTTTAGAGAAAGTTACCCCATAAGAAAGTTTTCTGTTATATCATGAGAGAGGAAGGAGAGGAGGGGCAGAGAGACGGTAGGAGAGGATTGAGGAGAAAGAACACGGGAGTGAGAATTGGTGGCAGGGAATGCTCAGCCTCGGGGTCCTTACTGCCTCTCAGAGCCCCAGAGCTAATGAGCAGGCCTGTGCGCATTGGCTGCTGTTTCTTGCGCATGTACTAAAGGCTCAGCTGTGCTAACTCCCATCATTCTGTCCTCACGGTGACCCTGAGGGCTACACTGGAAGAGACCATCATGGTGAGAAGCTCAGTTTCTTTCTGCCCGACCCCTGTGGTACAGAGATGGTAATAACCATCACCCAGTGCATTGAGCTGCCTAGTTTGTGGGTGTTACCTTTTTAGATAGATAGAGAGAGATGGATACATGTGTGACCCAGCTTAGAATCCTTTGCAGCACAGGTATTTGACATGAACAATCTGGAGTGGGTCCACTGCAGCACTGCAAGGTGGCTTATGCTCACCTGGTCAGTGTCTTCCGGTGCTGCTGCTGCAGACCGCAGGCAGGGTTGGCTTTGTGTGCTTGACACCGGAGCCCTGGCTTCCAGTCTCCCCAGGGCTGCCAGAGCATGTGTTCTTGAGGAAACCGTCCTGCCTCTCTTCATTTAGCAATGAAGGGAGCCAGTGAAGCCAGTGAGGTGATGGAAGGGACGATGGGGTTGGCAGGGAGTGGCAAAGTCCTCCTGGGTTGGAATAGAGGGAGGAGCGCCTTCTCCCTGGTTGCAAAGTCTCGGTACTGTGGAATGATATTTGTGTTCGTGAGACTGGAGGCCTAGCAACTTATCGGATGCTTAGTTCCTGGTATCTAAACCAAATATGATTAAATGCTGCTGCTTCAAAGCAAATAAAGGAGCATGCCAGATCACTGTGGGAGTCACCTGTCTTGGAGAATAGCAAGGATCTAAAATTTTTGACTTTTCTCTCTATTACAATATATACTTTCTATTTTTCCTGCTGTGAAATGATGAAGTAAATATACTGGGCTCTGATAGAAAGGGAGTATTTTTAGCGGGTCCCCTTGAAATACCAGTGACCCTCGTCATTCTTAGGGCAGGTGATTTCAAAGATCTTGCTCCATCAAGACCCATTGTGTGTTTTAAAAATAGAGCTGAATCCAGTTTCTGATCTTCGGGCTGCCTTCGTGGGTGTGACTCAAGCTGTTCTTACCTGGAGGAACAACAACGGCACTGCCACCTGCTGGATGCTTCTAGAAGACACAAAGCACTTACCTGTCAATATTTCAGAGCTGAAACCTGGGGTACAGTACAATGTCATCCTGAACTTTTCAGAATCAAATGGGACACAGACACCACCCGTGGTGCAGCGCTTAGGTGAGTCACACTGTGTGCTGTTTGTCTGCCTGGCTGATTGTGACTTTCAGCCACTTAATCGTCAAAACACACATCATTCTTATATTGTATAGCATTTTAGAATTTATAGGGGCCCCTCCATGTATTAGTTTGACCCCACACCAGTGAGAGAAGGAGGGTAGAGGAGGCTTGTTCTTTTACAGCACGTTGAGGCTCAGAGTAGCAATGAGACTCCCGAAGTCTGGCAGCCCCTTCAGATGAACAAATACCAGATGTGCAAACCCCGCCGGCCCGCTGGTGGGACTTACCACATCCAATGAGAGCAGGGATGCTTGCAGGCAAATCTAGCTGCACTGACAATGGAGTCATCCTTTGCAAATTTCATAGCATTTTCAGGGGTGACCCTGTTCCTTGTCAAGAACACACATTTAACCCCCATTTTACACATAAGGAAACTGCACAGAGGGCTTTAAGATTCTTGATGGCAAGGGACAGAGACCAGACTTTACGTACTCAGACTAAACGAGCACTTATTGGCTTGCGAGTATTTCCCCACTGTGGGCAGCACAACCCTGAAAAAAGGGATGCGGTCACTCTCCCATCTTCTTCCCTCCTCTTTCTTTTAATCAACTTCGTTCTCAAAGTAGCTCCTTACACACAGCTCGAGCAGATGGACCTGCTGGTAGGCCCCTGGTCAGTGGGAGTGAGGGGAAACGTCCTCGAGTGGGCTCTGATGTGCTGTCTTGGTATCCTGTGACTGTCCCTGGAAAACCACTTCTGTAGTTGGAGGAGAAAAGATGATTTCCTGGGGAAAAAGAAAAGGCTGGGGGGTGGGGGTGAACCACAAAGAGCTGAGTCTGAAAGAGCAGCACACCTATGCGATGCCACCTGGATAGAAGGACAAGAGGAAATAGCTTCCTGCCATCCAGGCCTTGTCAGGAGTCTGTGTCCCTGTCTGGGGGAGGAAGAGAACAGATATTTATGGAGCCCTGACTCTCATTTATGGAGTCTGCTGTGTCATCCTCTGGGGGTGGGGGAAGAGGCGCTCAAAGACCACAGCCCCGAGCTCTGGCACCATCAGTGTCTGTGTCTTTTGTGTTTGAAACAGATGTCAACCATGGAGAGAACTCCACGGCCCCTGGGTTCGACCTCGCACCTGCACACCCAGCTTCCTACCCACTTCTGACCCAGCACACAGAAGTCACGCTGATGGGGTTGGAGGCCGACACAGCATACAACGTCTCTCTGCATTCTCAAACAGTGGATGGCATGGAAGGGCTGCCCCTGACCCTCAGCTTCCAGACAAGTAGGTTGGATTTTGTCAGATAACTCCAGCCAGAGTTTGTTATAACATCATCTTTTGTCTCCCATCATTCCGGGGCTGAGGTCTCTTGCATCACAAGTAGTTTTCTTCCCAGAGGGAGTTTTCTGGTTGGGATGCTGGGCAGAGTAGATCAGCAGGTTTCTTAATGCTGGGACCTAGATGCTGCTTTCACTGAGCTCGAGAAGCTACAATGAGTCGATGCCAGGTGCTACCTCCTGTCTTTCCTACTCTGCATCACAGTCAGTGAGACAAATGTGTGGATTTTTAAAAAAGATTTATTTATTTATGCATACAAGAACTGGGCATAGGCCAGAGGAGGTGCGGGGGGTGAGAGAATTCACCAGAGACAGAGTGGGGAGCAGAACAGGCGGATCCACTGAAATACACTGCTGAGGGGGGCAGAGGGCGAGAACAGGAGAGGTCTGCTGCACCATGTGGGATGCTCCCTGGCTGATCGGGGATCAAACTCATGTTGCAGAGGCCGCGGATTGCTTCATAGTGTGGTGCTTAACCCCTTGAGCCACCAGTGAGGCCCAAATGGGTGGATTATTGCTTTGTTTTTTTTAAAAGCTTTTTAGAAGCCAGAGTTTATTTCTATTTAAAACACTGCCCATAGGAGTTTAAAAAGATCCAAAGGCCCCCATGACATCTGGGCTTAATATAAAATTATAATTGGGGAGCCTCCATGGTGGCACAAGGGGTTAAGCAACAGCTCTGTGAGTCTGTCCTCAGCCACTGCAGCACAGCACAAGTTCGATCCCGGGCTGGCCAGGGAGCTAGCCCACACAGCAAGGCAGACCTCTCCTGTCACCTGCTGCTCCTCTCAGCAGTGTATTTCAATTAATCTGCCTGTTCTGTTCCCCACTCTGTCTCTGATAAATCGTCTCACCCCCCGCACATCTGGCCCCAGTTCTCGTATGCATAAATAAATAAATCTTTAAAAAAACTATAATTGGGTGTTGCTATTGGTGCACCATTTCACGGTCTGGAGAGTGGTTATCTCAAAACCTCTTCAGTGTTTCCAAGGTTTGCTGGTTCTTCTAGGCTGAAACAACAGTGAGTATTCTGAGCATTGACATGCTCCATACAGGGTGGACACACAAGAACAGCAAAAACAATTGCAGAAACGGCCATTATTTTTGCAACAGAAAAAGGTATTTGATCAGATAAGAAACCAATCCAGCAAGTTCCAGAGGCAAAATGAGTAATCCGATATTTTTAAAAAACCACAGATACATTTATGAAAATTGTATGCAAACAGTTCCTGCCATAGTCTTGGCAACTGGTTTCCCTTTGGTCATAAGCTTGAAAAGCTGAAATCATGTGGGGTCAGAGGGCCAGGTATTGGGGAGAGATAGGCGGCTTCCATACCCCCTCCGGGGACGCCACACTCCCCACATCTCCATGTGTCCATCAACCAAGTGGGAACCTCCTAAAATATTATGAGTAGATATTCATTTCATCAGTGTTGAGATAAGAAAATAAGTTTCCGTTTTGACCTGACCTTTCTATTGAAGTCTGTGATTTTTGCTGATTATGCAGAGTGTAGTGTTTGTTCTTGGGTGGAGATCCACTTGAGAACTTTTCTCAGTCACTCCAGCACCTGGGACATGTGCAGGGTTCATGTTAGTGCTTGAGGAGTCATCGTCTCTGAGAATCAGCTCAACAGGAGAAGAGAGTCACTCTGTAGTTGCAATTGACCAGTTTGTTCCTTCACTGAAGGTGATGCCTGACTTTTGCTGAGCCCCCTTGTGTGTGTGTGTGGTTGTGGGTAAATACCATAGGATAGCAAGGAACAGTCCTGAAGTGTGTTTATTTGACCGGATGATATACTATGATCACAGCATCACCCCCCAACTCCCTATCTCAGCCATCTGGTTATTTTTAATGCATCTTGTGTCTTTACAGAGTCTAGTCGGGTCTTTGACATCACAATTGTGAACATCAGTGCCACAAGCCTGACCCTGACCTGGAAAATCAACGATAATGCCTCGTCCTATAGCTACAAGATACAGGTTGTTGGGGAGACTTATGTTCTCAATTTCACCACCAATGTGACTCAGGCTGTCATTGCTCCACTCGAGTCCAGCACCTTCTACAACATCACAGTGTGTCCTTTCTTGGGACATGGGTCTGCGGGCACGCCAGGCTTTCTCCAAGTGTACACCCGTGAGTTCTTGCCCTGCTTTGCCATTCTTGCTTGCCTGTCATATGCCAGGCCCAGGCGCAGGACAGGGCTCTGTTTCTTCCTCAAGGAAGCACAGCTTGGTGTGTGTTGAAACTCCAGCCTCTGCTTCTAGTGTGGTTGAGACCTTGAGCCCCTTGATATCCAGGGAGAGAAAGAACCTGTGTATCCATTGCCTTTGTTCTTTGGGTGCTAAGTTGTGATGAAGCAGGGCTGGCTATGTCTCTGTCTTTGTTTGCTTAACTACCCCCTAAAGAGAAGATGATAGGCAGCAAATAAAAAGCTTTCTGTTCCAATAATTCAAAATGAAACAGTGAGAGGTGTGCCGGCAGCTTAGTAGTGTGGTGGTTTTGATGTGTGTTCTGAGAACTTTCTGTGTATTGCAGTGACCTGTGGGGTTAGCACTAGGATCCTTATTTTATAAACAAAGGGATGACAGCTTACTCTCAAGGCCACAGAGTTCGCATCTGGCAGAGCAGGAAACGGAACCCAGGGGTCCCTGGTTGAGTACCCAGGGCTCGTCCGGAGAGTGTGCTTCCCAGGAAGCACACAGACACCTTCGGCATTCTTATACATGTCTTCTGACTCTTCGGGGCAAATGCCTTAAATTTCTTCACCTTTTACTATTTAACTGTTTCTTACTTAGGATTGGAATTTGCTGTGAATAACAAAAAGCCCTCAAGTATACATGGCTTAAACAAGATGGGAGTGGGGCCTCCCCCGTGGCACAGTGGGTTGAGCACAGTGCTGTGAAGCTGTCCGCAGCCTCTGCAGCACAGGTTTGATTCCTTGCCGGCCAGGGAGATTCCCCTATGGCATGTCAGACCTTTCCTATCTCGCCCGCTGCTCCCCTCAGCAGTGTATTTTGGTTGTCTGCCTGTTCTGCTCCCCTCTCTGTCTCTGGTGAATCCTCTCACCCTCCTGCACCTCTGGCCTGTACCCCAGCTCTTGTATGAAAAAAAAAAAAAAGAATAAATCTTAAAAAAACAACAACAAAAGAAAACAAGATGGGAGTTTATTTCTCTCTCATAAATGAAGCCCAGGCTAGGTAGAGTGTTAGCCTGGACTCCATTTCAAGAAACAGAAACAAAATCTATTTAAATATTTAATCTGGGGAATGGAGAACTTACAGAATCATTGGAAGGGCTGGCGTATTCATTTGCTAGAGCTACCGTAACATGTACCACATATAGACTGGGAGGTGTAGCCAACAGAAGTTTATTCTCATAGTTCTGGAGCTGAGAAGTCTGAGATCGGGTGTCAGCAGGCTTGTCTTCTGAGTTTTCTCCCTGTGGCTTATAGAGGGCCACCATCACCCTGTGTCTTCACATGGTTGCTCTGTGCTGGTCTGTGTGCTAATGTCCCCCTCTTGTGTGGATACCAGGTATAGTGGGTTGAGGGGCTTCCTTCAATGACCTCATTTTACTTTAATTGTCTATTAAAAGACCCTATCTCCAAATAGTCTCATTCTGAGGTACTGAGGATTAGGACTTTAACATATGAATTTTGAGGGCATTCAACCCATAATATTTTGGGTGCAGGCTTCAGGCTGGAACCCAGAAATGCCTGGTCATTCCAGGAGGAGGACTAAAGACCTCCCTACTGAGACTGTCACCAGCTTTGTCACCAACAGTACCCCCAACTGTACTTGTTGGCTCCAAGAATATGTGCTCTGGGCTGCCATTTTGGCATCGGGAAGCTGCAGTCACCACCACATTGTTGGTTTTAGAGCTAAGCAGCACATCACAGCACATTCCAGCTACCAGAAAGAGGAAGGGGTACTCTACTTTTTGAGGCTACTTCTTGGAAGCCATACTGTGTTTCTGCTAATATCCCATTGGCCCGGAGATAGTCACAAGGCTAGTCTAACTGCAAGGAAGCTGGGAAATATAGTCCTTATTCCCAGTAGTCATTCATACTGCTAGAAGTCTAAGGAAATTGGAGGTAACTGATTTTGGGGGTCAACAGCAGCTTCTGCTGCACCTCCCTAAACAGAGGAGGTTCATGCCTCCACGTTTCCTGTGAATGTTTTAGTATGACTTAAGTGCGCTGTTTCTGTATTCTCTGACCAAGTGTTCTCACTGGTCAGAAGCACTAGTTTCTGAGGGACTAGTGTTGTTGGTGATAATACAAAGAAGAGGAGAAGAGAGATAAGTACCCCAAGTGTGCATTTAATCTTGGTGTAAATATCTTGTTATGTGCAGTTACCCTTGTCCTCTGGAGAAATAGATTCTTAATCTAATCCTTTACTTCCTTCCCACAGCCCCCCGTCCAGTTTCCAACGCCCATGTGACAAATGTTAGCACCAGGGAAATTGGCTTAGCTTGGGACAGCAATGATGCAAATTTCTTTAAGATAAAGATTACAAAGACTGGAACTGGAGAATTTGAAATGAAAAACACCACTAACCGAAGTATTGTCATTGGTGACTTGTATCCTGGAACCAATTATTGCTTTGAAATAGTTCCACAAGGACCAAATGGGACTGAAGGGGAGTCCCAAACAGTTTGCGGTAGAACTGGTAAGCAGAGTCTGTTCTGTGATACAGCCGTGTTTCTCAAGGAAAATCAATATAATTTATAAATGTCAGGTTTTCCAAATATTGCTTTTAATTATTTAAGAAAAACCTTTAAAAAATTTGATAATACTACATATGAAATACAGACAAGTGAAAAGAAAAAAAAAATCACATGTAAGCCATCAAACAGATAATCACTGAACTTTTGGTGTATGTAGTTAACAATTTTAAGGTCTATATAGTTGTGCGTGCATTCTTTTATAAGCATTGATGTCATCCTGAACTTGGGGTTTTATAATCTGCTTTTTTCCCCCTGCTAACAAGCTTATTATGAATATTCTCTGTCAATATAAATATTTCTACAGGATCATTTTAATACTTTCCTGTCTAAATCAGGGTTCAGCAGATAATAATGACCCAAGGGCCAAATCTGGCCCAATGCCTGTATTTTTATAAATAAACTTTTATTTATTGGAGCACAGCCATGCTCATTTGTTTATATGCAGTCTATGGCTTCTGTGTGGTTCAAATGAATAGTTACAATAGAATATATGTCCTACAAAGTATAACATTTATTCTGTGACCCAAAAAGGGCTAGAATCAAAGCCTAGATTAGTGGTTCTTAAAGTGTAGCCCAGGAATATCTGTTAGTCTCCCAGATCCCCAGATTCCTTTAGGGGGCTCTGTTTCATGATGTCTTCACTTCTCATTTCCATGTGATGAGTGCACAATAGAATTTTTCTAGATGCTACAAGGTGTGGATGGCATTGTCACCTGACTAATGGAATGTGTGCTGGCATATTAGTATGCTTTAAAAATACCAGTTTTCATTTCTAATACAGTAAATATAAATATTACCTACACAAACAAAAATTTTCTAAGAATCTTAATAATTTTTAAGATCTTATAGGAGTCCTGGGCCTCCCTGGTGGCGCAAGGGGATAAGCACAGCACTATGAAGCTACCCGCAACTTCTGTAGCACAAGTTTGACCCCCAGCGGCCAGGGAGCTGACCCACATGGCGCGGCAGACCTCTCCTGTCTCGCCCGCTGCTCCCCTCAGCAGTGTATTTCAGTCAGTCTGCCTGTTCTGTTCCCCACTCTGTCTCTGGTGAATCCTCTTACCCCAGCACCTCTGGCATGTACCTCAGCTCTTGTATGCATACATAAATAAATCTTTAAAAAAAGATCTTATAGGAGTCCTGAGATCAAAAACTTTAAGAACCACTTGTTTAGATGTTTCATGAATTATTTATTTCTCTGTTGTAGGCCAGGTAGATTATTCACAGTCTTTTATAAACAACATTGTAATGTAATCATTTTGTTCGTTCCATAGTGCTAATTAATACTGATAAATTAGCAATTGGATTTTCATTTCTGTTAAAGATTTGAAGTAAAGGTTTTTGGAAAACTTGGAAAACAGTATTCCTTGAGCTTTGATTTCAAAAGAGTTGAAATTTTTTATATGGAGGGAAAGAATAAAGACAGACAGCTGAGCCACATGAAATCACTTGGGCTTTGGAGATTCTCGTGTAGGTTTCTTCGCCTCTGTTGGTTGGGTAAAACATGGATAATTACTTGGAAATTTGGCAGAGAACTGCTAAAATGCAATAAACGTATACATGCTGAAAAGTGTACACTCAGTGCCATAGCTTGATGGGTTTTCACAAACTGAACCCTTCTAACATGATTTCTACCAGAAAGGGGCATTTTTATGACAGAAGCCAAAGAACTGAGAACCAGTCGGCTGAACTGGCAAATGCACCCATGTTCTAGAAGAGCCAAAAACCCTTGAAAGAACTGAGTGTGTATTTTCCCCTCAGTTTTGGAGATTGCCTTTTGTGAATTTGTTTGAGAGTTTGAGGGCAAAAGAGCAAGTTCTCTTGAGAGACACTTGGAAACAAAACTGGATGTTATGATGGTCATTAACAGAGCCCTTTCTTCTTTCCTTTTCTCTGACCAGACTTCAGTGCGGTGTTCAACATCTCCGTGGTCAATGTCATGTCCACAGAGATGCATCTGGAATGGCAGAATACAGATAGGGCTCCTGGGTACAGCTACCATCTCGTTATTGTGTCTCAGAACTCCTCTCTCGAGAAGAACAGCACTCACACAGCCATCACCCTCAGCAGCCTGGTCCCAGGCATCTTATATAGCATCACAATCTCCCCAGAATTGGACAAAATCCAGGGGAACTCCAGCTCCATTGAACAATACACACGTAAGTGTCTCAGTGCCTCCTAAGGGAGTGTCTCTGACTTTCATGTGAAGGGTGGGGTGTAAGATTGGTCATATGATGCAGTCAGGGGTCATCGTATTTCTGGATTCCAGGTTGAAGGTAAGTTGCTTAAGCTGAGGACGTTGGCCTCAGCAAAGGATCTCCTGTTCTCATGTCACCTTGGAGCTGTTGGGTAACTTGTAGTTGTCTTTAGAAGTAGAAAGTGATCCCATAAACATGGAAAGCATAGCTGTTCCATTCATGGCTTGGGAATACAGACTTGAAGGTCACTTTGTCAGGTTGGCTTTGGAAGTGACAGCTCCAATGAGCTTTGTAACTTGCTTGCAACAGTGAGGGCGGTGTTTTGCTAATTTTTGATCTAAAGATAACGGCAGACATAGTAGTTTATAATACGTATTTGTGGGTTTTTTTTTCTCATTCATTAATCAGATTTCAAAAGCAGAGGAAATTATATCTTCAAGATATAGCTCATATCATTTTTAAGTATTAAAAGAAGAATAAAAAACTTAATTCTTTTGAGATTTAATATAAGTATTTTCTGAATGTCTCTTTGGGAAGCCTTCCGTCTTTTGAACCAGCAAATATTAGCTTTGTTCATTCTTTCCCAAAAGGAAGCAGGCTGTTTTGGAATGCAGTAAATAAGAGTCCTCTTTTTTTTTTCCTTTTCGTTTTTTGAAATCAAGGGCCCAGCAATGTGTCTGATATTGAAATAAGCACCAACACCACAGCAGCAACCTTTACCTGGAAGAACATGGATAAAGCTGCCCCCACATACACCTACCACCTTTTTATTGAGGGGGGTGAAAATTCCAGCGACGTAAAGGAGGTGGTCACAGGTGTTGGCATCACCAGTGCTACAGTCGCCGAATTAACACCTGGCGCATCGTATACCGTGCGCATCCTCACCAAAGTGGGGAATGCCACCAAGTCGCTGGAGTCTGCTAGGCAGTCATTCTGTACAGGTGAGTAGCCCCACGTGCCTCTGGGACTCTTTCTTATGTGCTGCTGGCCTTGTCGGCAGGCCCTCCGCATTCTGGATACCTGGGTTTCTCATGCCATGTGGTCTTACACCCTGAGCTCTCCGGGATACCCTGCTCACTCGTCAGTGTCATCTTGCTGCCCTTGTCATTTCTTCCTTCACCAGATAGTTACTGAGCACTTCCTCTATGTTAAATGACACAAATGGGTCTCTGCCTTCCTGGAATTTTTATTCTGACGGGGAGGACATAATAAGCAAGATAAGTAAGTTATTAGATGAAGATTATTGCTGAGGAGAGGGAAGAAAACTGAAGGAGGAGGAAAAGAGATTTATTTGGTGGCCAGGGAAAGGTGATGTGTAAACACACACCTGCAGGAAGTGAGGGAACCAGCTGAGTGGATATATTGACAGAGGAACAGCCAGTGCAAAGACCCTGAGGCTGGGGTGTGCGGCTGTGTTGAGGCTGGGGTGGAATAGTGGGTTCACAGGAGCAAGAGGGTGAAGTAGGAGGTGAGGCTGAGAGGTGATGACCAGGGCACAAATGATGTCCCAGCCTGTTGTGCATAGTTTGGCTTTTACACTGAAGAGCGAAAGGATATTTGTGAAAATATCCTTTTCATCTCTCTAGATCCTTTTTTCTCAATGGAACAATGTGTGATAAAGAGAAGAGCCCAGGGAAGGTTTTAGAGATAGAGAAGAATCTTTTTGTTCACACTTCTGATAGGGAGCTAAGGGGCCTTCCTCACCTCCACGCTCATGAACCACCTTGTTTTTCAGCCTCTTTGTGCATCATCTTTCCTTCCTTACACAAAGCTTTACAAATGTGTTCAGGCCGATTTGCAAGGGGATTAGCTCCCTGGACTGATTATCTGGGTAGGGAAATTCCTGCAGCTCTGAGTTTCCTCTGCTAACTCAGTCTCCCAGTCTAGGCTCTGATCCTAGGTGTTTGGGTGACTCTCATACTGATACTTAGCTTAGCCGTGATCATTACAGCTATAGCAAGGGTGAAATAGGAAAAGCATTTGTGACTGGGGTGGACAGAGCAGGAGCTGTGAGTGCAGGTAGGCACTGGTCTGGCCACTGGGCATCCAGTGGGGTGTGTGGGAGTTGAACTAGGTGACTGGTTAGAGCTATTCCTGCTTTAATTTTTTTTAACATTTGAATTAAGGCTCCTTGAGGGGGAGGGTGGAGGATAGGGAACAAGGGGTGGAGGGGCCCAGTGGTCTGTGGTCGATGATTATAGGTATTTAGGTGGTGGGGTGCAGTGGTGACATACGCTTGAAGAGGTTTGAAGCTATTCTCCTAAATGATATGCGGTGTTGTAAACCAATGTGAACTCAATAAATAAGGGGTATGGGAAATAAATAAACAGAAGGATTTAATAATTTATTTAACCAGATGAAAAAAAAACCCCATAAAATTGGCAACATCAAAGTCATGATAATATTCTCCCCCAGTATATTAAGTTTTCCATTGACATTAGTTTGATGGTGGTCCTCATTAAAGCTCTATTGACTTTCCTGGGGAGACAACTAACACGCCATTTTATTTTATTTTATTTTTTTGCATTTTTTTTAAATTTTATTTTTATATTCCCCATACAATTGCAACCCCCTTATTTTGACCCCAATCCCTCCCCTCCCCGCCCCCTACCCCTCATAGAGTGTCTCTGGTTCATAGTTGTTTGTTGATTATGATTTTCACTTTCTTATAGTTATTCATTTTCCTGGTCCCTTATTTAAGTTTTCTAGATTCCTGCTATGAGTGAGACCATCTGGTATTTTTCTTTTTCTTTCTGGCTTATTTCACTGAGCATGATCCCTTCCAGCGCCATCCATGTTGCTGCAAATTACATGTGTTTATCTTTTTTGAATGCTGAGTAATATTCCATGGTATATATGTACCACATCTTCTTGATCCAGTCATCTATTTTTGGGCATTTGGGTTGTATCCAAAGCTTAGCTATTGTAAACAGTGCTGCTATAAACATAGGGGTGCAGGTGTTCTTTGGAATTGATGTTTCTGTGTCCTTTGGGTAAATACCTAGGAGTGGAATTGCTGGATCATATGGAAGCTCTATGTTTAGTAGGCCCAGAAATCTCCACACAGCTCTCCATAGTGGTTGGACCAGTTTGCACTCCCACCAACAGTGCAGGAGAGTTCCTTTTTCTCCACAATCTCACCAACATTTGTTGTTGCTAGTTTTTTTAATTTGTGCCATTCTCACTGGTGTAACACACCGTTTTAAAGTGGAGAAATTGATGTTATTTGCCATTGAATCTTCAGCACGTTGTGTGTGTAGAAAACAGAAAATGCTCTGGACTTGGCTGTAGAAAACCTGGTTTTGCCATTTGCAGCCATGTTTTCTTTAGCAAGTCACTTAGCTTTTCTAAACCTCAGTTGCTTTATCTGCAGAATGGGACAGTATTTAATGTGAGCTGCTCCAGAGGATTGTCAAGAGGGCCCCAAATGAGGTGGTTCAGGTAAAGAAGTTGTATCACACTGTGAGAGAACCACCTCTCACACAGCCCTGCTTTCTTCCAGCTGGTTACTGACACCCATTGCTTCATTGAACCCCCAAATAGTCCTACAACAGAGGCTCAGATCACTTGGGAGATGCACTTAAGGTCAAATAGTTCAGTGATGCCTGATCTGGATCAGCCTCTGTTGCCTCTTGCTTGCCTCTATCACTAGGAGCATTGCACCACTCCCCTAGGTTTCTGTGTGTGCAAAGACAGAAGTTGCAGAATCTCACGATGCATGGACTTGCTTTGCAGATCCTGCACCGGTGACCTCCTTTGAATGTGAAATGGTCCCAAAAAAACCAACCTTGGTTCTCAAGTGGACCTGCCCGGATGGCATCAATGCTGGCTTCCAGCTGGAGATCAGCAGTGGGGCCTGGAGCAACGTGACCTCCCTGGATAACTGCTCCTTGGACAACGGCACTGAGTACAGGATGGAAGTCACATATTTGAACTTTTCTACCTCGTACAACATCAGCATCACTGCCTTATCCTGTAACAAGGTGGCACCTCCTGCCCAAAACACCTGCCTCACTAGCATCACAGGTGGGCTCTGTGGGGAGGGGTGGCCAGGTGGCACGGTGGGCTACCCCCAGAGAGGCTGCATGTGTTCAAGTGTGTCCTGCAAATCTGGTTTTTTAAATTTCCTCTAAAGTATTTGTTCTTGGTGACGTAAGATTACTAACCAAATTCTATAGAGATGTACTCTAAAAAAGCAGAGTAAGATGGACTCATTTGGTACATTCTTAAAACGTCATTGGCTTTATAGGCTAATTCATTGCCATGCCATGTTGCAGGTAGTGAGTTCCCTTATTGTGTTACAAAAGAGATCCCATTTTTGTATATGAAAGGGGAGGAGAGTATAATGAAATCCATGTCCTGTCACTGCCCAGGTGAACACTGTCAGCTCTGGACCAGTCTTGTTTCATTGGCAGCACCTCTTCTTACTGGAAAACTTTGAGATGACTCCTACCCATTGTATAATTTTATTTGTAAATATTTCATTATGTATTGCTCCAAGATAGGGATTCCTTTTTCCTTTTTTTTTCAAGCATCACGGAATTATTATTACCATCACACTTAAAAAAATTTTTTTTTTAATATTTATTTATTTATTTATTTATACAAGAATCAGGGAACAGGCCAGATGCGCGGGAGGGTGAGAGGATTCACCAGAGACAGAGTGGGGAACAGAACAGGCAAACTGACGAAATAAACTGCTCAGGGGAGCAGCAGGCAAGACAGGAGAGGTCTGTGCACCATGTGGAACCCTCGCCAGCCCAGATCAAACCAGCGCTGCAGAGGCTTCGGACAGCTTCACAGCACGGCGCTCAACCGCCTGTGCCACCAGGGGAGGCCCCACACTTAAAAATTTTGCAACTTTTTTTTCATTATTAACAGCTATTAAGTCATGATTCTTATTTCATCAGCATCTGTATTAACAAGCCCCTCAGCTGTTTTGGGAGACAAGGGTCACTCACTGCACAGGGGGTCCGCCTAGTTATCTTTTTATGCCCATGTATATTTCCTTCTGTACTTGGGAAAAATTGCTCCTTAAATTTTTGCTTCTCTTTATCTGTCTTTTGCTTCCTGTATATCGTTGCCAAAGTTGTGTTTTAGATCAGCCCAGTTGGGTTGGTTTTGCTAGTGGTGTTGGTGTATATTACCCCAGTTAAAAATAAATAAAAAATTAATTTAATTAAAAATTTTCCTAGGAGATGCATTAAAAAAAGTAAAAGGAGCAGCTGAAATTATTTAAAATACGTTTTATTTAACTCGGTATATTAAAAATATTATTTCAACATCTGTATAAAGTAAATTACTAATGAGATATTTCATATTCTTTTATCGTCCTAAACCTTTGACATGCAGTCTCTATTGCACATGTGTAGCCATCTGATCTTGAACTGATCACGTTTCAAGCGCTCAGCAGCTATGCATGGCTGGTGGCCGCCATATCCGACAGCGTAAATTTGGATAATTGTATTGTGGTTCTCCCAGTCTCCTTGAGTCTTGGCTATAATAATGAAAACACTCAAACTGCACTGTGAGTGGAATTCATGCGGAGACAACATGTTCTGTTGTTAATTCTGAGAATGGCTCCACAAGCCTGACTCAGAAAGGCGAGGGGCACGTTCTTGAAGGTCTCCCATGGAACGATCCTGTGTGAGCTTTCTGGTTTCTGGGAAGAGAGCTGGTGGGGTTTCTTTAGGTAGCATTTTAAAACAACTCCAGGAGACATCTGACTTAGCGTGCAGGACATGGAATAGAATACAGCCACTTCTCAGGCAAAAGCGCGCACCCTGGATGTCCTCTTTGCTTGCCTCTGGGTATCCGCCGCATCATCATTTTCAGCTCCCCAAGCCCTCCTGGTGCTGAGTCCATGTGGTGGGCAGATGTTGGTGTCCAGTGCCAAGTCCCCGTCTTAGAGTCCGACTCTCACAGTCTCTCTCCTTGCTCTTCTTCTGCTTCAGTTCTCAGCATAAGAACTGACCCGTCTTAGGTGAGGTGGCGCCAGGGCAAGCTAGGAAAGGTGGGTTATATTCAATGGGCAAGGCAGCCTGGAGCCTGCCCCTGGCAACGTACTGGGCACAGATGGAGCAACAGTGAAAGAGCCTTGGGGTCTGCTCTCTCTGCTCCCCGCCAGCTCTCTTCCCTGGCCCTTGCTTCTGGACTGCTTTGGGAGAGCCCAGCACACAGATTCTAGAACAGGGGCAGCACTTCACGAGGGCACTGTAGCTATGACCTTCATAGTTTTATTCCTTCTTTGGTTTTACATGTTGGGTGATCATGTTTTGCTCTGTTTCAGACCCTCCTCCTCCATATGGCTCCCCTAATATTACATCTGTCAGTCACTATTCAGTAAAGGTCAAGTTCAGCGGGTTTGAAGCCAGCCGTGGACCCCTCAAAGCCTATGCTGTCATTCTCACCACTGGGGAAGGTAAGGAAGACTGTTAGGGTTTAAACAACCAGTGTGTGAGGCTGTGACCCCGGTGAACTTTCTGTGCTCACTGAGGCCCATTGGTGATTCAAATACTTGTCTGTTTTACACTGTTGCCCAGGCTTTGACATTCAAAAGGGGGTAGGAAGTATTTGCCTGATGATTTAAAATACTTAACTTTTTGTAAGTATTTTAAGCTTTGCGGCCTTATACTCTCTGTTGCAACTATTCAGTTCTGTCATTATAATGTGGAAGCAGCATTGGAGAGAAGTGATGATTGTGATCATTCCAATGTGATTCACGGAAACAGCTGGCTGGCTGGATTTGGCTCTGGGTATTGATGTACCACCTCTGTTGTAGCTTTTTCATCTCCTTGATATAGTGCAGGGTCTTGTAGGTGGCAGAATATTAGTCTTAAGTGGCTTTGTCACACACAGATAAACAAACACACACACATATGCACACACTTGCACACTATCTTCAATGGATGACCTCTTGGAAGAAAAAACAATTTGCATTTGCTCGTGGTAACTTGCAAAGAGCAACCTCACAGCTGACAGAAGAGGTGGATGACAGACTGCTTTTCCTTAAAGGTCTCCTTGGCATCTTTGCAAGTAAGAAGGGAATGATCCAGGCCGCCTGTCAGCCACGTGTCAGTGGGACTAAGTGCCAGGCGTTTTAGGTGATTTTTTAAGTGAAATGTGAATAATGTAGTGTTGTCCCTGCCTAGTCTCTCAATTGCGATACTGCCTTTCAGAAGGTGGAGATCACAAACACTCTCCAGAGGTGTGGGGATCCTGGAAGATAAGGAATTTTGGGGTGTCATAAGTCTGTGACAAAATTTTGAATGTGTTGTTGAATCCGCACCCACCCCCTTGCTGTGTGTCTTTGTTTTGGGTCTGTTTCAAGCACTTAGTCATTTTGCTGTGAAGGTTTTCAGCAAATCCCAAGCTGAAGCCTTTGCTGAATGAGGCAGGCGATGCTGCATTGACCTGATGGCCAGTGAAGGATGAGAATGCTCACCCCACGTCGGATGGTCTGGGGAAGAATACACTCTGCCATGCAGGCCATGCGGCCCTGGGTCCCAGTCCTTATAGCTTTCTGTGCCTTTATGGGCCCACTTGTAAATGGGTAGACGAACCTATGTGAGAAGATTATTGGAAAGAAGTGAGCTAATGTATATGGAGCTCGTAGAAGTTAGTGTCAGTCAACCTGACACAGAGAGCCTTCCTGGGAGATGCTGCTGTCACCGTGGTCATCACCACCATGTCCACGCATCATTGAGATGCTCAGGAGACCAGAAACCATCTGCCTATTTTCTTACAACTTTCCTTCTCTGTGCCTGGCCTAGCTCCACATGCCACTGCAGATGTTTTGAACTATACATATGAAGATTTCAAGAAGGGGACCTCGGACACGTACGTGACATACCTCATCACAACAGGCGACAAGAGACACTCCCAGGGCTTGTCTGAGGTATTGAGATACGAAGTGGATGTTGGGAACGAGTCCAAGACACATGGCTATTACAACGGGAGGCTGGAGCCTCTGGGCTCCTACCGGTAAGGCCTTCTGCCTCTTGCTCTCTGGGGGCTGAGCCTCCTGAGTGCAAAGCTCCACACGCCTGCGCGTTGGCCTCCTCTCACTGCTTCTTTTCCTCTTGTCATCCCACAGGGCTTGCGTGGCTGGCTTCACTAGTATTACCTTTAACCCTCGCAATGCCGGACTCATAGATGGGGCCCAGAGCTATGTGTCCTTCAGCCGCTATTCAGATGCCGTTTTCTTGCCCCAGGATCCAGGTAGAGAGAAAACAGAGGGGTTATCAATTCAGTGGGGTTTTGTTTCCTTTGAAGCTGGTGTCTGTACATCTGCCCTGAGGCCCCAGGAGGGTTGGAGGACCTGGTTTCTCCTCTCTGAGAGGTCACTGGGCCATCAGGACCCAGCTCAGCTTCCTCTTCTGAGACCCCTCAAACCCCACAGCCCAACCTTCTCAATCCCTCACAGTGTCAGTGGTACTTCCAATCTACAAAGACCCTTTACTCCATTTTTCTCATCCTTTGTGCGCCCACGTGCAGGCACCCAATGTGACTGTGGGATCAGCTGGAGCCACAGACATCCTCTTGTTCAATCCCCCTTTTAGAACCTAGGCTGCTAAGCCCCAGAGGGGTCAGCGTATTGTCCAGGGTGAGATTGTGGCCTAGAGGTAGGCCTGCCATTCTGATTTCAGGGTTCCTGTTAAGCAGCTTCAGGATCCTAAAAGGAGACAGCCCCTACCTTAGGGTCAGAGCCAAGTTGCCCGACTGGCTTGTTAGTTTGTCTAATTTCTTACTTGGTAACTGTGGCTTCAGGAGAGCAGGTCAGGCAGCACCCATCTCCTTCCTCAATAAGCAGATGGGTTCTTAGTCCCCCGAGCATGGTACGGTGGGTACTTCTGCTCATACCTGGGTATCAGTCTCATGCAGTCAGAGGTGGTAGCACCTGTGGAGGACCTCTCATCTAGTGGTTTCCAGACTGCATGCTTCCCATGGCCCTGACCTCAGCTAGAGTGTATCTGGTAGGTTTTCTGTTTTATATGTTGGACTGCCTGAGTTTCCTTGAGGAAAGCGATTACTGGGGAAGAACCACCTGGTCATCACATGTGGCCCAGTTCCCAAAATTTGCAGCTGAGACCCAAAGAAGAGCAATGACCATCTCAAGACTTTCCAGTTAGGGGTGGTCGGGGGTGGGGGAGGAGCAGCACACATGTGTGAGCACTTGGGGCTGGTGATTGATGAACTCTTCTTGAAGTGCTTCCTGTTCGGGCTCTTCCCAGGCGTCATCTGTGGAGCAGTTTTTGGATGTATCTTTGGTGCCTTGGCTATCGTGTCTGTGGGAGGCTTCATCTTCTGGAGAAAGAAAAGGTGACTTGCTAATGTTAATGATAAAACCCCATTTAAAAAATTTTTTTAAAAGATTTATTTATTTATGCATACAATAGCTGGGGTACAGGCCGGAGATGCAGGGGGTGAGAGGCTCCACCAGAGCCAGAGTGGGTAACAGAACAGGCAGACTGACTGACATATACTGCTGAGGGGAACAGCAGGCGAGTCAGGAGAGGTCTGCTAAGCCATGTGGGTTGCTTCCTGGCCGGCCGGGGATAGAACTTGTGCTGCAGTGGCTGCAAATTGCTTCATAGTGTGGTGCTTAACCCCTTGTGTTACCAGGGAGGCACCTAAAACCCCATTTTTAAAAATTGAAGTACTTTTGGATTATATCCTTGTTTGTGCTTTGGAAGAACAGGATCACCCGCTTCGGGTGTAGTCACCGTAGCTCACCCACCACTGAAGCACCATGGTCCCCGCCATGGTCCCTGGTGCCCCCACCCCCAGATGCCTCAGTTCTATGGTCAGCTCTCAAGGGTTGGAAAACCCCACTTTTCAAGGGCGCTTTTTATTATGGAAAATTTCACATGTTCGAGCATTGGACAAATAGTCCAATGACTAACGAGCCTCGGTGTCCCCACCATCCACAGTCTTCACTGTCTGGTTAGTCCTATTTCATCTCCACCCCCGAACTGCAGGGCTTGCAGTCAGATCCCAGCCCTACATTAGGTCCCGGGTGAATACCTCAGTGTGGGGCAATGCTTCCAGAGGTGCCCTCTCCTTCACAAATCAGCCCTGGGGGTCAGGAGATTCAGGCCAGAGCTAGCTCAGTTGAACAAGACACTCAGCCTTTTAATGTCCTCACCTATGGTGTGGGGATAACAGTGCTGCCCTTGTGATGCCAAAGAGCATTAAGAAAGCACTTCACATGGTGTGTTGTATCTCCTCTGTTGTTATTTCATCTGAACACCTTTGGAGGGAGCTCAAAAATAAAAACAACAGCTTCTTTTTGAGCTTACTGAGTACCTGAGCTGTGCTTGCCATGAATCATCTCACTCAGGAGGCTCTTCCGTAAAATGGGATGGCGAAGCTGTGTGCAGGCAGTGTGGAAATGGACTTCGACTTGGGTTTTGCACCTCCCTGCACCACCCCATGTCCGGCCTTGTGGCTTGTGAATCCTATGCATTCACTGGGACTCATGCTCTGTGATCAGGGCCTCCCTCCCCTCCCCCCAGGATCCATCCTGGCTTGGGGTTCCCCACAAAGACCATGCCTGGTGCTTCTGCCACCACCTTGCCCTCTTCACCTGAAAGGTGATGCTCCTATGCCAGTTTTTTGCATTAGATTCTATTTTTATTTATGTTTTGCAGCGGAGGGGTTGGTAGCAGAATCAGACAGCTTTATTACCTCTTGTTAAAGTAATACATGTTGATGACCAAAAATTGCAGAAAAGATGAGCCAAGAAAATGGTTAATTCCCTACACAAAACCACTGTTAATGTTGATGTGATTACCAAGCTCAGGAATACACACACTCAGATAGAATCATGTACCCCTTTCTGGGTCTCCCTGGTGGCGCAGCAGTTGAACGCTGGGTTGTGAAGCTGCCCGCAGCCTCTGCAACGCCGGTTCGATCCCCGGCCACCGGCAAGGGTCCCACATGGTGCGCAGACCTCTCCTGCCGCCCGCTGCTCCCCTCAGCAGTGTATTTAGTCGGTCTGCCTGTTCTGTTCCCCGCTCTGGCTCCTGGTGAATTCTCTCGCCCTCCCGCACTTCTGACTGTACCCAGTGCTTGTATAAATAAATAAATAAATCTTAAAAAAAAAAAATCATGTACCCCTTTCCTAACCTGCTTTAATGTACTCGAGATATTGTGGACAACTTCATTTATTCTTCATTTTAAGAAGTAATTTAAGGGCCTCCCCTGGTGGCACAGTGGTTGAGCGCTGGGCTGCGAGGCTGCCCGCAGCCTCTGCAGCGCCGGTTCGATCCCCGGCAACCAGCAAGGGTCCCACATGGCGTGCAGACCTCTCCTGTCTCACCCTCTGCTCCCCTCAGCAGTGTATTTCAGTCCATCTGCCTGTTCTGTTCCCCTCTCTGGCTCTGGTGAATTCTCTCACCCTCCCGCGCTTCTGACTGTACCCAGTGCTTGTATAAATAAATAAATCTTAAAAAAAAAGAAGTAATTTAAGAATTACAGTATGCAACTGTGTAGAAATGATTCAATCGAAACATTTAGAGGTTTTGGCTAACGATGGAGGAGAGCACCAAATGCCCTACCACCCTGCCATACGTATTTTCTGGTTTGTTCCATTAGTTTATCAAGAAAGGTTTTATCATTTAAAAAACTATGAGATAAGAAGTCAACTTTACAATAAGGTAACGCTGCTGATCTGTGTACACCCCAGGAAATTCTTCAAAGTTGCTTGAATACCATTCTTCTATACAGAAATTTGCTGTATAGAACAGAAGAATCATATTCAGACAACTTTTAAGAATTTATTTAGATGTTATAAAAGAGCAGCCTTGTAGATTTGTAATCAGCGTTTTCTGTGTCGACATTAAACTTAGGAATAGTGACTTAGTGTCAACACTGAACTGAAAATGCCCCAGGGAAAAGGATTTTGTTTTTTGTTTTTTGTTTTGTTTTTTTTTTTTGATACACAAAAGGGGCAAAGCAAAGAATTACTATTTTTTGTCTAATGGGCCTTTTTTCTTTCAAAACAGGAAAGATGCAAAGAACAATGAATTGTCCTTTTCTCAAATTAAGTAAGTGTCTGGAGTCTTGTGCGCGATTGTAAGTTATTTAACACCCCTCCTCCTCACCAGTCCGCTCAGTGACTATATGGAGAAGTTTTTGATGGAACTTGCTGTCATTTTCCTGACTGACATGTTGGGCTATGATCATCCAGAGGTTTTGCTAGGTTTGTTATTCTGCAAGGCATGTGTGTGTGTGTTGTCTCCTGGCTTGCTTCTTGCCCTGTCCTCCTGTGGTAAGTACACCACAATCACCCACAATCTGCCACCAGTTGTTCCAGAAATACCTATTTTGAGATATAAGACAGCAAGATCTAGGAGAGAAATGCTCAAGTCTCAATGCCAGTCAAATTTCCTTGTTCGTGTTCATGTTTCAGCATTCAGTGTTGTGTAAACACAATATACCCTCTTACGCACACACACACATACACATGCACACATTATACTGTGGTTTTTGTTCTTTTGGGGAGATAGTTATTGTCATCTGGAGATGATTGAGCCAGTTTTCTAATTGCTTATTTTTTCTTTCCCTTTCTATGATGAAGACCTAAAAAGTGAGTAACTTCTTTCCTTTTTCACTAATTTGTATTCTAATTTTGAGTCTGAACTGTCATAAAGGTAAAAGATCCAAATATGTTATTTCATTTTTTCAGATCCAAGTTAATCAAAGTGGAGAATTTTGAGGCCTACTTTAAGAAACAGCAAGCTGACTCCAACTGTGGGTTCGCAGAAGAATATGAGGTACGTCACCTGGTCTCGAATTGCTTTAGGATTTTCCAGAAAGCTGGAAAACTGCCCATCTTTTGTTTTATGGTGATGCTGGGGTGGGGGAGGCAGCCCTCTTCGAGGGGAGAGAGATGCTTCAGCCTGTTCCCCAGGGGCCCATAGCCGCTGCTGACGGTGGGGACTCGCCGTGTCTCTGCTGACCTTGCTGCTGGTGAAGATTATGCAGCGAGACGTGGACACTGGGAAGGCGAGAGATGGTTCTTAACTAGAGTGATTAGGAAGCTGATGTGAACTAAAAAGAACCTAGGTGGGGTGTTTAGGGGACTGGGGCATGATGAATATGTGATTGTGGGTGAGTATATCTTGAGGGTTATGTGAAGTCCTGTGGTTTCCCCCTAGAATGGCTGTGAACTCACCCCCCTTACCTGCTGTAGCCTCTCTGCCTGCATTGTATTAAAATCCTGTCTCCCCTCGTATTAGTTTCCTAATAACAAATGGCTTAAACAGCAAACGTTTATTTTCTCACAGTTCTAGAGGGCAGACTAAATCCAAAATCAAGGTATATGGGGCAGTGCTTCCTGCAAAGCCTCTGGAGGGAGAATCCTCCCTGCCTTTTCAGATTCAGGAGGCCCAGGCTGTCCTCTGGCTGCGTGGCTGGAGTCTCTGCCTGTTTGCTCTCCTGCCTGCACCTCTCCTCCAGGCATCTTGTTAATGGAGTGAGGCCCATGTGGCTCCTCCAGCCTAATATCAGCATTCTTTGTTATATCTGCACAGAACCTTTTTTCAAATAAATAAGCTCATATCCACAAGTTGGCAGCATTAGGATATGGACATGTCTTTTGAGGGGACCACCATTCAGCCTGCCGTACGACTCAGAGCCCAGCACAGGCTCACAGCCCTTAGTGGGCTTGAATTCTGTGTCTCAGCACTGCCCTGCCCAAGGCTTGTTGCCTGTTACTTGTACTCAGCACTGACTTCTACCTTGTAGCTTTTGTTGTTTCCATGTTATGACCACCTCCCTCCCAGGTGGTAAACTCCTTGAAGACGAGATGGTCCTTTGTCTTTTAACCTCAGTGTTAGTTTCCTTACCTCTCATATCACCACAGAAAATTATTCTCTCACAGTTCAGCCAAATCAAGGTGTTGGGCAGGGCATGCTCCCTCCAGAGCCTCTTGGGGAAGATCCCTTCTTGCCTTCTCCAGCTTCTGGAGGCCCCAATGCTGCCTTCATCCCCCGCTGTCATCCCTTGTGCGTCCATGTCTTTGTCTCTTCTTCCGGTGAGGACATCAGTCATTGGATTAAGAACCTGCCCTACCCAGTGTAACCTCATCCTGACTTGATTACATCTGCAGAGACTGTAGCTCTCAGTAAGATTGCTCTTGCAGGTACTGGGGCTTAGAATTTGAATATGAGTTATTTGGGGGGGAACACATAATCTAACCCATAACATCCCTGCATCCCCACTCTGTTCTGTCATTCTCTATGCTTAGTATAAACAATATTTGAACATGCAATAAATGATCAACACATTTGTTTCCAGGATCTTAAGCTTGTTGGAATTGGGCAACCAAAATATACTGCTGAGCTGGCTGAGAATAGAGGAAAGAATCGCTATAATAATGTTCTGCCCTGTAAGTCTTTTTATTCACATTGTATTTTGCTTTTCTTCTGTCACTAACAGTTACACAGCTTTTGGAGGAGGAAAGTCAGGGATTCTACAAACCCACTTCATGAGTCACCTCATGTGCTAGCCCAGTGTAGAGGCATATTCCATTGGATTTGGCCCTCACGGCATGAAATAGGGGGTAGAATGTTCATTTTGCTGATGAGGAAAATGAGGCATTGAGCAGCTAGGTGATTTATCCAGGGTCACCTGGGCCTGCAGGAACAGGTTAGTCTGTGCTCCAAACCCCTCTCTCACAGCCTCTCATGTCGGTTAGATTCTGGAATGAACAAAAGGAGGACTCTTCTCTGGTTGACTGAGTGCATTCCACAGCTAAATACCAATTATATTTGGTTTGTTCCCTCTGCTAAGAATGAGCAGTGTCTATACTCTCAAGGGACAGAGACACAACAATTGAGTTAACAATGAGGAAGGAGTTAAAAATGAAGATGAAATGTAAGCCCTTCTCCCTGGAAAGTTTTTTGTGGGCTCTCTTTGGGGTGAGAACTGTCATCAGATCGGAGCTGTGTTCTGATTTAGCAGGAGTGTGTAGGCTCTGCTGATAATTTTGATAGCAGGATGTTTAAAGACTGTTCTAATTTTAATTTTTTTAAATTTTTTATATTAACATTTATTATATTTTACATTTTTTAGACAATATTTGCTTCTCCCCACCACTCAGATTGAGTTCCCATAGAATTTCCTTCCCCAAGGCACCCGTGCACCATCTAATTTTAATTTTTTTATTTGAAACTCTGTTTTCCTTTCCTGGCCTAAAATACTAACTTCTGTTTAGATTCAGGATTTCCTAGCTCCTGTGTGCATTTCTTCCTTTCCCTTTGGAATTGAGAGTGGACTTTGTTCTGAGAGACTTGCTTTTCATACTGGAGGGGGACAGCTGGGGCTGGGGGTCCTGTCTCAGCACTGCCCTTCTAGCATTAACTGGGGGTTGTAGGTCTGTGACTGTGGAGATTTTCAAATCCAGAGTTTGGGATTTTTTTTTTTTTTTATAGAGGCATGTTTATTTATTTTATTTGTTTGTTTGTTTTGTTTTTACATGCACTGGGTACAGTCAGAAGCGCGGGAGGGTGAGAGAATTCACCAGAGCCAGAGTGGGGAGCAGAACAGGCAGAAGGACCGAAGCACACTGCTGAGGGGAGCAGCGGGCGGCAGGAGAGGTCTGCGTGCCATGTGGGACCCTCCTCTGGTGGCCGGGGAGCAGTCGGGGATCGAACTGGCGCCGCAGAGGCCGCGGGCAGCTTTGCAACCCAGCGCTCAACCGCTGCGCCACCGGGGAGGCCCAGAGTTTGGGATTTTTTTATTGGGAAGATTTTAAGCTGAAATTCCCATTGGTTACTGGGTTTAGAATTGGTGCATCATTTTATCTAGGGGAGGGTTAAATAGCGTGTAGTCAGAGACAGGGAAAAGGATGGTGCTGCTTAAAGCTCAGCCTGACACCTGACAGCCTAAGGTGGTTGTTTCATTTCTTGAGTTGGAACAGTTTGTGTGTTTTTGAGATCACAGTGTTTAGAAAACATGAGAATTTTGTGCTTTATATCTTTCCACTCATAGGAGTTTGATAATTTTGTTACTTTTGAATTCAGTACCATATTTTTAGAACATTTTGGTGACTCTAGAGAAAGTGTGAGAGGGGGACACTAGATTTCAATTCTGATTGCCATTTGCTGAAGAAACCTCTTAACCTCCACCTTCTCCTTCCTCATCTGTAAACTGGGCAGACAAGCTTGCAGGGTGGTTTTGAGGAGTAAATTAAGTGAATTCGCATGTTCCCAGTGCACGGTGGACAAGCAGAGAAGCTCATAGCTGTAGGTTTGTTTTGCCTGCAAAGACAGTCAGGTGTGGGTAAGCATTGGGCCAGGGTGATGGGCTGCCTGGGTTCACACCCCTGCATGGCCACTTACTAGCTCTGCTGGCACAATCACACAACTTTTCTGCGTCCCAGTTACAGAGGGTGGCTGCGAGGAGAGAGGGTCATTGATATAAAAAGCTTCAAGGTGTGACAGAAGCCTTGATGTTGCTATTTTATACTTTTTTTTCCCCTTGCTAATAAGGACCTTTCCTCTTTTAATGTCACAGATGATATTTCCCGTGTCAAACTTTCAGTTCAGACTCATTCTACAGATGACTACATCAATGCCAATTACATGCCGGTAAGTGGGGAGATGCCTCCTCTCTGGCTTGTTCTGATCACGTCTTCAGAGCCCTTCTTCCTGTGTCCTTGACAATGGCTATCTGTTGTCTCCCACTTTTAGGGTTACCATTCCAGGAAAGATTTTATTGCCACACAGGGACCTTTACCCAACACTTTGAAAGATTTTTGGCGTATGGTCTGGGAAAAAAATGTATACGCCATTGTTATGTTGACTAAATGCGTTGAACAGGGACGGGTAAGTATATATTTTTTTAATTTTAAAAATAAGTTTAATGAATGTATTTTGATTGTAATGGAAGGGAGGGTTTCTTAGAAACCACCTGTCTTTTTTTTTTTTTTTACTGAAAATATGCTTCCCCAAACATTAGCACCTCTATTCTTAGAAGCTTGTTTTCTTTTTCTCCTCTAAGAAAAATGTCTTCAAAACAGCTATCTTAAATGTTGATGTTTTCTATTCCTGAGTCCACTGTGGTTGGAGTTAGTAGCTGGCAGGGCCTGGGTGATTGCTGGGCAGAGGAGTTCATGACACAGCTCGGCCCTTCACCAGCCTTGTGCTCACGTGAATGTCCAGCATGTCTCTAAGCCCCCAATTCTTTGTCTGTGAAGTGGGGGATTCGACCAACTCAGTGAGCCTAAAACTGAGTTTTTATCACTGGAATCCCTAATGCCAAATTGCAGGCGTATCCCCAGATAAATCTCAGCATTTCCCTTTCCCATGGTAGCCTGAGATCCCCCAAATGCTTCTAGCAAAGCTAAGATTTCTTCTGCTAATAAAATCCCATATTTCCATAAATTCACCTGAGAAGAACTGCAGAGCACATGCTAATTTCAGAAGTTCCATGCCTGAGGAATAGGACCTCATATTGCTCCTTGAATTTTTCCATGTAGGCACATTACTTGAAGAATAATGGGAGTTGAGTCCCTAAGCCAGTGTTCTCAAACTCTCATGTGCCTCAGAAGCACCTGGATGGTGGTTTCACCTCCAGAATTAATCCTGACAGTTCGCAGCAGGGGCTGCTGCTTCTGCTCCTCCAGGGTGCCTGCTCTGTGCCTGGTGATAATAGAAACTCTTTCTCTCTCTCTTTTTAATGTTCTTTATTTCACTTTAATTTAGCAGTTGTTTATCCAGCTCCATGTACATGTAAGGTCCTGTGCTAGGGGTTGGGGAAAGGTAACAAAGAGGAGTAAGTTATGGTTCCCAGCTTCACGTTTCTCGTGACATAGAAGGTTGGGTTCCGCACCCCTTTTTTTGCAACAGGAGGCAATCTATTTATTATACAAAGGAAAGAACAATGCAACATTTTTGGAAACCAAATAAATTTTTTTTTTTTAAATAATAAATTTTATTTTTATATTCCCCATACAATTGCAGCCACCCCATTCTGACCCCAATCCCTCCCCTCCCACCCCCGCCCCCCAAAAAGTGTCTCTGGTTCATAGTTTTTTGTTGATTTTGATTTTCACTTTCTTATAGTTATTCATTTTCCTGGTCCATTATTTAAGTTTTCTAGATTCCTGCTATGAGTGAGACCATCCGGTATTTTTCTTTTTCTTTCTGGCTTATTTCGCTGAGCATGATCCCTTCCAGCACCATCCATGTTGCTGCAAATTGCATGTGTTTATCTTTTTTGAATGCTGAGTAATATTCCATGGTGTATATGTACCACATCTTCTTGATCCAGTCATCTATTTTTGGGCATTTGGGCTGTTTCCAAAGCTTAGCTATTGTAAACAGTGCTGCTATAAACATAGGGGTGCAGGTGTTCTTTGGAATTGATGTTTCTGTGTCCTTTGGGTAAATACCTAGGAGTGGAATTGCTGGATCATATGGAAGCTCTATGTTTAGTAGGCCCAGAAATCTCCACACAGCTCTCCATAGTGGTTGGACCAGTTTGCACTCCCACCAACAGTGCAGGAGAGTTCCTTTTTCTCCACACCCTCGCCAACATTTGTTGTTGCTAGTTTTTTTAATATGTGCCATTCTCACTGGTGTAAGATGGTATCTCATGGTAGTTTTGATTTGCATTTCCCTGATGACAAGTGATGTTGAACATTTTTTCATATGCCTGTTGGCCATTCGCATTTCCTCTTCAGAGAAGTTTCTTTTTAGCTCTTCTGCCCATTTTTTGACTGGATTATTTTCTTTGTTGTTGTTAAGTCTCATCAGCTCTTTGCAGATTTTTGTGATCAGTCCTTTATCATTAGTGTTGGGTGCAAAAATGTTCTCCCAGTTGGTGGGGTTTCTCTTTGTTTTTGTTATTGTCTCTTTTGCTGTGCAGAAGCTCTTTAATTTGATGTAGTCCCAGCTGTTTATCTTTGCCTTCACTCTCACTGCTTTGGGTGATGTGTCTGTAAAGATGTCTTTGATGTGCAAATCACGTAGTGTTTCGCCTATATTTCCTTCTATATATTTTATGGTTTCAGGTCTTATGTCTAGTTCTTTAATCCATTTTGAGTTGATTTTTGTGTATGGTGTGAGGTAGTGGTCAAGCTTCATTCTTTTGCATGTAGCGACCCAGTTTTCCCAGCACCATTTATTGAACAAACTTTCTTTGCTCCAATGCATAGTCTTTGCTCCTTTGTCAAAGATTAGTTGACCATAAATCTGTGGGTTTATTTCTGGATTTTCTATTCGATTCCACTGGTCTGTATGTCTGTTCTTGTTCCAGTACCATGCAGTTTTGATGATTATGGCTTTGTAGTAGAGTTTGAAGTCTGGGAGTGTGATGCCTCCATTCCCTTCTTTTTTTTTCAGGAGAGCTTTGGCTATTCGGGGTTTTTTGTGATTCCATATGAATTTCATCAATAATTGTTCTATTTCTTTGAAGAATGACATTGAAATTTTGATTGGAATAGCATTGAATCTGTATATTGCTTTTGGAAGGATGGCCATTTTAATAATGTTTATTCTTCCAATCCATGAGCAGGGGATGTCTTTCCATTTATTTGTGTCTTCTTCTATTTCTTTTAACAGTGTTTTATAGTTTTCTTTGTATAGGTCCTTTACCTCTTTTGTTAGATTTATTCCCAAATATTTGATTTTTTTTGTTTCCGTAAAAAAAGGGATGGTTTTTTTGATTTCTTCTTCTTCAGATTTTTTGTTTGTGTATAGGAAGGCTACTGACTTTTGCGTGTTGATTTTGTATCCTGCCACTTTACTGAACTGATTGATGAGTTGAATTAGTTTTTCTGTGGAGTTTTTGGGGTTCTCTATATTATCATATCATCTGCAAATAGTGATAGTTTGACTTCTTCTTTTCCTATTGAAACCAAATAAATTTTATGGTGCTGCTGAGCCCAGGGCTTCACACATGGAACATTTTCATAAATATCTGCTGGGCAAATGAAACTGACATAACTGAATTAATGGAGAACAGGACGGTGAATTTAGAGGGGCCCTTGTTTATTGTAAGCCAGGAGAGGAATGGGTGTTGCTGACCGACCGCTGGATGAAATGGGAAGGGAGCCAGTGTGTTTTTTCTTGCAGATTCTCCTCGTATGTTATTCCTGTTTTGTAATAACCCTGCTAGTGTTATCTTATAGTCGGGGAAGCTGAAGTTCATAGAGTTTCAGAATGTGCCCACAAGGTAGCAACAAAACTCCATTTAGGAAGAGGCTAAGCTGGGCACCAGCTCTACATCAGTGTAGGTCCTGGTCCTGTGTTCTTGAAGCAGTGGTCTAGAAGCCTATGCCATTGAAAACAAATACAGGTCCCTGGGCCAGTCTGGAGTGGGGGGTCACAGGTATATATTTTGATAGCAGCATAGACTTCGCAGGCGTGGTGGATAATTGATCAGATTTGGAAACCACCTGCAGTGGACACACATCAGGAAGGGTGTGTGTGTGTGTGTGTGTGTGTGTGTGTGAAGTTATTTGCAGTTATTTGCCATGTGGGGATTCAGATATTCTTAGAGAGCAGTTGTTCCTGCTTTTTATTTCTGTTCATATCTGCCCACTGACTTTATAAAAATCAAGGAGTCCAGTAATGACTGACTTTGAGCCTCTTTATTGATATCTGTATTTGTCTTGCTGTTAGTGTGTATCAAGTTTTTTCAGTGAACAGTGTGGATGGGCTCCGGTGAGCACTGGAGGGAGCGGGGTGGGCCCTGTGACTCGGGGAAGAACCAGCTGTTGCTCAGATCTGAATCAGTTTTTATGCAGAATTGGGGATCTGTGTAGTTTAGATCATCTGATTGTTTTTAAAGAGAAGTCAGAAATCTGGATTTTTATGGGAAGGCTCCCAAAATGAAAGGAGTTGGCATCAATTACAAATTAAAAAAAAAAAAATAAGGGTCAAACAGGAACCAACTAGGTAGGGGGCTGGCTTAGCGTCTGGTGCCAATTTTCAGTATCCAGTGTCCCTTGGGAGGTTTTAGTGATGTCACATGCCACAGTCTGAGGCTTTGTATAAAAGTTCATTTTTATTCTAGACCAAATGTGAGGAATACTGGCCCTCCAAGAAGGCTCAGGACTATGGGGACATAATTGTGGCAAATACTTCAGAAATTGTTCTTCCGGAGTGGACCATCAGAGACTTCACAGTGAAAAATGTAAGTGAGAGGTGAAGAGAGACGGGTCTCCTGTAGTAATGCATTAACTTCGGGATGATACTTTTTGGGTTGCTATTAACCCCAATATTTCTTTGCATCCTTACGGAATAAACAATCCACGTCTACATGTACTTCTAGCAGGCTTTAGCTTTACTTTACTTTAGCTTTACTTTCTTAAGCAGGATTTCAGTTGTTAATCTTGAATAAAATGAATCTTCAGAGTGTGACTCAACACTGGCATCTCCTCCCTTCCTTGCCCTTCCAGGCGAATTTCTCACAGAGTTTTTATTACCAACTAAAGTCCTTTTGGATAGTCGGGTGGGAATAGGGCAGCAGGGGTGGCCATTTGCCGTTGGGAGCAGTTTATGGTGACAGTTATAGTAATAGGATTCCAGGGCATTTATACATGATCCTCCTTTTCCCAAAAGTTATGAAAACAAATCTTATTAAATCATGTAGGTGTTCTGGGAATCAGTTTGTCCGCCTCCTTTTTTAAAAGGTTGTTTAAAAGTAGAAGCAGTGTTAAGAAGCCACACTGCTGTCTCTCCATGGGTGTGAATAGGTATAACCCTTTGCAGCATATATCAAAGGCATAAGAATCTCTAACTCCTCAAGCTGGTAGTTCCAAGCTTGATAATCTGTGTTAAATAAATCATTGGGAGTATAGAAAGAGGCTCATGGTTTGCAAAGATAAAACTCAGCATTATTTATAGTGGAGGGAAAATTGGGAAGACATGCAAATGCCCAGCTTTTGGTGAATGGGTAACTAAACTATGGGGTGTTCAGTTTCTGTATCATTACTCTCAGGTATTAGAAGTGATGGCATAATTGCCATGAGCTGTTAGGATGTAATTAAACCAAGCATACTAGGAGACATAATTTTATGCATATTGTGAATAATTCATAAAAGTCCAGAAGTAGACTGAGTAGAGTTGAGGCTTATGGGGGTGGGGTGGGAAATTGGGGAGTTAGGTCCCAGTTTAGAAGAATTATTGTTGAAGAGTCCATAAGTCATGGATATAGTGTAGCATATAAAGTATTAACTCCTCACTAATCACTGTGTCTCAGAGACTGGCCTCCACTAGTATTTCAGTTCCTATGCTGGAGATGCCATCAAAATGCACTCAACTGGCTCCAGTAAATGCAATTCATAATAATTTTTAGTCCTCACTATTTGTGTAGCTGCCTCTCAGCTGGGCGCTCAGGCACAGCTTGATTCCACTTGCCTTACTGATGTTCTTTAACCTTTCCCTCCTCATCTGAACCCCTCTTTTGGCTTTCAGATTCAGACCAGTGAAAGTCACCCTCTGCGACAATTCCATTTCACCTCCTGGCCGGACCACGGCGTTCCTGACACCACTGACCTGCTCATCAACTTCCGGTACCTTGTTCGTGACTACATGAAGCAGAGTCCCCCGGAGTCCCCGGTCCTCGTGCACTGCAGGTGTGGGACCCAGCTGGGGTGGGGGTAGGGGGCAGCCTTCAAATGCAATAAAAAACATGGACGCTTTTGAAAAGCATGACATAAGAAAGACTATAATAGACATGTATGAATTCAAGAAAGGTTTGGATAAGGGACCTTGGACTTTTTCTGTACAAGTCCCAAGACTTTGGAAGAGGACTTGGCAAATTGTGGCCTGTGAGATCATATCTGATCAGTTTTTATTTTTTTAAAATCAAAACAATTTAGTTATGCTTTGTAGTATTTTCTCATAAAATATTTCAACCTTATGAAAATATAGGGAATGACAATGAAGTGTAGTGAGGCCATCTATGTTTCTTTTGTCAGTAATGCATTATAGATCTTTAAAGTCTCTACTTACTAGTCTCTGGTTCATTCTTCTACTTCCATAGGTAAATGTGACTTTATATTTTATTATGTGTGTATATATTTCTGTGGTTTCATATTGCTTTAAACTCTTGTCAGGTTTCATTCTACAACCTGCTTCCTTCAGCATGTTTTTTTTAGGGATGAATATGGGGTTTGGTGATTATTCTAGAATTAAAAATAACTCTGTGGGAATCTTTAATAAAGAGACAGTACTTCACACTCAGAGAATGGCTCCAGGATATAAGACAAGTGTTTTGAGGCAGTTCTGTCTCCAGCTCTCAAAAAACAAGGATGAGACAGTTGAAATAAGCAAGCAACTTTGTAAAACAAAAATGTAGAAACCTCAAAAGTAGGATTAAAATCTAAGCTTGTTTGGCTTTAAAATTTTTGAAAATATCAAAGGTTTGCTTTAGTGACATGCTAGTCCTACCAGAATAACTTTAAGAACCTCTTGTAAGCAACATGCTCAAACTGATCAGCCAGCTCAGATTTCTAACCCCATGTGTAAGTCCATGTGTGTCTTCCATACGAGGGGGCTCAGGGGACTTCCATCTATCTGTTAACCTACCTGTGTCCACCTGCGGGGGCAGGGGAGAGGCAGTGCATAGAGAGCCCCGAAGTTCATCCAGCATTTTGGTTGGTTGTGTAACAGTATTGAAACACACAGCTCTGGGTCACCTTATTAACTCAAGAAAAAAATTTTATGAGTTTGGAGATAAGTATCTGCTCACCATCTATTTCCTGCCTGTAAGTAAAGTACTGGGTGTGGCCTGCCCATTTGCCTACCTGTTTTCCCTAGTTACTTTCATGCTACAATGGTAGAATGCACATTTGGGCTACAAAATTGAAGATACTTACTATCTAGCCCTTTACAGAAAAAACTTGCCGCACACATGTACTTAAATGGGGGAATTTACAAGCTTGGCAGTAAAAGTAACCCACTGGCATGTACTCATTTCTCCTTCTCAGTGCTGGGGTTGGAAGGACGGGCACTTTCATCGCCATCGACCGTCTAATCTATCAGATAGAGAACGAGAACTCTGTGGACGTGTATGGGATCGTGTATGACCTCCGAATGCACAGGCCATTAATGGTGCAGACAGAGGTGAGCCCAAGATCAGTGTTTGACAGTCCACCCTTCAATCAACCAATCATTTGTATTTATTTCCCCCCCTATTCATTTTTGCCTTGTGTCATCCACCGTTTAAAATATTTCCCCTTTCCAGGTCTTTCTGGCTCTTGGCTGTGATTTCTTTAAGAACAGTGATTTGGGATTGAATTCCTCAACAACAGTGGGTCCTGATGTCAATAATAGGCTGTAAACTTAGGTGGTATCAGGGTTCCTTACCCCATGGCCCCTGACTCACCAAATCATCTTAGCAAGTCTTTGAACCTTGCCTTCCAGGTTTTAAACTCATAAAGTTGTCATTTTCACTCCGTTTCTAAGGAGATCTGACCATCCTTAAAATAGGCTCATGAAGTAGACTTTTCAAGTATGAACCATGTAAAATTGCAAAACGCTGCTTCAAGCATTCAGACGGCAGTATTTCTTCACCCAGCCTGTGTTAAAGAACGTCAGTTGTCGGTCACAGCGGGGCAACTGCCTCATTGAGAAAATGAATGCTTAATATGTACAATGCCATTTGTCTGAGGCCGTCGGATTTGGCTTTCCCTGAAATGTTTTTGCTGCATGTTCTCAGCAAAGATACTGGGAAATGGCCTTCCTCAAAGCTGTAGGGGTGAATGCGCTTCACCAGGGTGAGAGCAGAATATTAATTCTGTATCAGGCTGTTGCCTGTTCCAATTTAGAACTCTATGAATATGGGCTGTGTTTTTGAGTCTAGCAGGGAATGTTCTAGAGGTCTGGGTACGGTGTGTGCTTTGGGGTGAGTGACAGGGTTTTGATACAAAGGAATTTACCTCCTGTGTTGGTCAGAAGGGTAATATTTCCTTTTTTCTGCTAAAATGCCATAGAGTAGTAGTTCTCAACCTTTTATCCTCTTGAGAAAAGCAGCCTCTACCTGCCTAACAAATGTTTTCTCATCCTTTTTTTATATTTTGGAAATAATATAAACCTGTGCATATTAAAAAAAAGGAACAGTACAGGAATATATTGAGTGTTTTTCTTTTTTACTTTCTCTTCCCCAATGTCACTCCTTAGAGCCAATATTATAGTTTGCCTGTATCTTTATGTACAGAGTGGGGGGATGCGTGCATGTATGTGCACACCCACAAATCCTGTTTTATATGCAATTCTGCCCTATGATTCCCCCCACCCCCACAGCACCATGGATAGCCTTCTGTGTCAGCATCTGTCCCTTCTTCCTCTTTCCTGATTCTCATTTGTTTGCCTGAAGGCGGTTCCCACCTGACTGGACCCTCATCACCCCCCCACCCCAGTTGTCCTCTGTTGAGAACCCATTTCCTCCTTAGCCTACACATTGCTACTTGCCGAGGAAATCTCATTGGAATTTTTATTGTTGGATTAATTCTTCCACTTTCTTTCTTTTGCCCTTCCCAATATCTCAGTGTTTCTCTTTGGGGAGGGGATGTGTGGGGAGTGTGCCCAGGCTAAGAATCACTGATTTCAGATTTCACCAGAATCCTCTTTCCTCTCCACACATGTTCCCTTGAAGTGTTTGCCTTGGGCTGGGTGGGCAAGTGTGGAGGTGGTAATCTTTGAAAGTCACCTTGGATGCTGATCCCCGGGGCCTTTGTTCATTTGCTTTCTCTCCTTTTTTAACAGGACCAGTATGTTTTCCTCAATCAGTGTGTTTTGGATATTATCAGATCCCAGAAAGACTCGAAAGTAGATCTCATCTACCAGAACACAACTGCAATGACAATCTATGAAAACCTCTCACCAGTGACTGCATTTGGAAAGACAAATGGTTACATTGCCTGATTCCAAAGGAAAGCCTTTCTGGAGTTAACCAGACCGTCACAGCCACAGCAAAGGAAAATGCCCCATGTTGACATGTTTCTATATGTCTAATATCTTCATTTTTTGTTCTGTTTGGTTAGAACTAATGTGAGGGTGTGCAGGGGCTCATGTAAAACATGACAAATGAGAAGTTGGGGCTAGCGGGGGGGCTGTGGAGGGTGAGCAAGTCAACTATATTCCTGATTACCAATGGGATGAGTTCACTTTTTTTTTCTGGAGAATATGGAAAACCAGGAAAAGTGAGCTATGGTTTTTTTTTTTCCTTTTTTCAAAAACAGATTTTTTTTTTAAAAAGACTATTTTATATGATTCACATGCTAAAGCTAGGCTTGTGTTGGGTTGAATATATTTTAAGTATCAGAGGTCTATTTTTACCTACTGTATCTTGGAATCTAGCAGATGGAAAATACATACTTGTGGATGATTATCATGTGGGGAGGGCTAGGTGGTGCCTCTTCTGCCTGGCTTTTCTATTTGAACATGTGCCTTTTCTGAATTATGCTTCCACAGGCAAAACTCAGTAGATATCTATATTTTTGTATCGAATCTCATGATTGGAATGTACGGAATATTTAAACAGTAGTTTAGCATCAGAGGTTCAGCCTTCTCAGAAGCATTTGTGTCCGCATTCGATTGGAGGCAGCCTCCCTGCCCCACCTCCTGTGCGCGCCCCAATCTTTGTTCCTTTGTCCTCGAAGTTGTCCCCAAAGGCATTTCTGCTGGCACAATTTCAGCCCACGAGTGAGAGTGGAGTGGAAACTATCACCTTGAGAATTTTGGGGGGTGGGGGGACAGGGGGAACCCTACAGTGATGTAATGTCCTTTCCTTGTCCCTGTTTTATATAATTTTTCTCATTTCTGTATTTGGTAAGAAGGATTATTTAAAGGTGCAATATCTGACTTAGTGATTCATGATGCTCTAGATTTTTAGTAACGTTTTACTCAGGTTGGCATTTTATGTGTGTCCATGTGTATGTGTGTGTGTTTTTAAAAGCGTGGCAATCTGTGAACACTTCAGTGTGAAAACAGTGTCAAATGACCCCGCCCCCTCAAAGCCCACTGGCTTTAGTCTGTATCTGCAGTGATGCATCAGTATCTGCTGTATATATATATACTAAACTCTCAAAACAGTCATTCCTTTGAATGGAGGTGTACAAAATTTGAATTTGTATCAAAGATGTAACTATTATTTTTAAAACCTCTTTTCATTCTGCTGCTGTAATTACTTTGATTTTTTTGTAAGTGTAGATTAATTTTTTTTTTTTTTTTTTGGGCTTCAGGTGTGTATCCACCAAGAATTTCAGAATTTGTGTGGATTTATTTTATTGGTACATAATCTGTAAGCTTTCTCAAGGCATTAACATGAAAGGATTGTTTCTTTTTACTTTATATGGTGGCTCAGGTTATTCTTTGAAGAAGTTTTGAATTTATCCTCCGATAGGCAATGAAGTATCCAAGGTTCGTATGAAGGAGTTACCGAGTCCCTGGAGCTCTGTGGCTGTTCCCCACAGTAGTAAATCCTGCTGTAACTGTAGGACTGGCGTGTCCTACTGAGATGGGCGCGGGGTCTTCCCCAGTGCCTGTCTCTCACTGTCTCCAGACCCCGCCCCGCTCCTCGACTCACCAGCACTTTGATAACTAACTGCACATGAATGGGGGCTTTAGAGTCAACCACAGTGGCCTGAAAGCCCTTGATTCGATTCAGAGGTTTAGTGCAGGATGTCTTTTGTCCCCCTTTTCCTTTGAGGTACTGAAAGGAGAGGCGGTGGTGGGGTGATGTTTTGGGAGAACCCTGCTTCCCAAATGGAAATTGCACTTTTTGCTGATTCCTTTGCTGTCTTTGGTAGTAAGCGGTTCATTCAGCATGGGGTGTCCAGCCAGAGTGGGCTCTCTGGACTCAGCTGCAGAGGGGCCTTTGGCTCCTTTGTTTCGAGTCTGGGAAGGTGTGTTTCCCCAGGGTGTTGTGTGAAGCTGGGTTTGGGTGGATGGCTCCTCTCCGCTTCGCAGCAGCTTGGCCCTTGGTGCTTGCAGAGCTTGAGAGCCCCCTCTGTTCAGGCAGTAGCTCCCTGTGCCACCTCCCTCCCCACTCTGGTTTGTCAGGAGACCACTGTGATGGGTGCCTGCGTGTCAGAGCCCAGGGCGCTGCTGCACCCGGCCCCGCCCATCTTGGGGAAGGACTGGGCTCTAAAATTCCCTTAAAAGATGAAAGCAACCATAATTAAAAACAGTGTATAAAAATGCAAAAACCAGAAAGCCGAGTCTCTCCTGCTTGGTATGGGACATGGGTAGCAGCTCCACAAGCCTCTCTTGGACGTCACTGCTAATCCAGGGAGGAAGGCTTGTGGGGGAGAGTTCTGGATTCCAGATGGGCAGGTCACATGAAGGTCAGGATGCCTGCTTCTGTGCACCCTGGAGAGGGCTGGGGCTGGGTCAGTGTTGGTGAGGGTGTTGATAGCATAGTGATTGAAAAGGGAAGATTAGTGTGTAAATATAAAGGACATAGGGGCTAGAGATTGGTCATCGAGAAGAGGAATATGCTTTTGGCTCCTGCCCCAACCCTTTCGGTCATAGTGACCTAAAATCTGGGATGTGGGTGGAGTGGTGGGGATGGCACCCCATTTAGAACTGGGTGGTTGCCCATGGCAAAGCAGCCAGAGTGGGGTTTGTTGTCAGTGAAAGTTTAAGGAGGGGTGGTCAGCTGGCCCCGGGGATTTAGGTCAGTGAGAGCTTCTCTCACAAGCAAAGGCTTTTTGGTCTCCAAAGTTAAGTCTTGTGATGACTGGCACCAGGAGGAAGTGGCATGAGGGCCTGTTCCATGGCACGATCTCCAGCTAGACTTTGGCATAATGGACTCCACTGGATTTAGACTTTGTCACGTCAGAGGCTCCTGGGGCCATAGTTGGGGCCTGACTATGCAGCTCATTCACCTTCGAGTTCCATCTGGATGGAAGCACATGGTTTCCTTCTGAAATGCTTGACTGTGCTTGTTGAGCTAAGCAGCTCTTGGTGACTGATGCTGATTTGTGTCAGAAGTGCTCTGAGCTTTCTGACCACGTGTAACAGCCGAGCCCTCCAGTCATTTTTCCTCGGGAGGGCACATGAGTAGGATGTATTGATGTGGACTCTAAAACTGTAATTTTCTTGTAACTATTTTGGAATGATGCATATTTCTAATGTTTGTTATACTTGTACAGAGTATTGCTGTTGGTTGCTTTTTTTTGTTTTTTAAGGAAAAAAATGGCCTGAAAAAATTTTTTAAAAAGACTTAACAAATACCAAATATAAAAAATGTCAACACATGATGTCTAGGTTGTTTTCTTTGTTCTTTTTTTTTTATTTTATTTTAAGCCCCTCCCTTTCCTTTACGTTCACCCTTTTCATCGATTAATTTACCGACCTCGTTGGACTGAGGCTTCCTTAACAGAAATACATAGTCCTTGGGGGTTTTCAACGTTTTCTTACTTCCATCTCCCACAACAAAGCACAAAGATGGGGGTGAGGGGTGGGGGTGGGGCTTACCTACAACAGTTTACTTCCCAGCACTTCTGAAGGGCTGAGTTCAAGATGGCGGCAGGGCTGGTCTCTGAGGCTTCTCTTCTTGGCATGTGGAGCCTCCTCATCACAGGGCTGCCCCACCTTGTGTGTTTGTGTCTGTCTCCTGGTTGGAATTGGATCACAGCCCACCCTAAAGACCTCATTTTACCTTAATCGCCTCTTTAAAGACCCTACCTCAAAAAGACACCCAGACTGAGGTACTCGGGGGTCGGGTACTTACACACTCACACATCCAGGGTCTTCGGGTGGAGAGGAGACTGGGAAGAAGTGGGCGTCCAGGCGTGGCTTTCAGGGCCGGACATAGGGTCAGCAGATGGACAGACACCTACTTGGGGTGCCAGAGGTTGGAGAAGGTTTTTTGTTAATGGGTTTGGGGAATTCCAGAATCACTGGGGTACTGTGGCCATTTAGGGGCTTTTTCTTTCTTCTCCCTTGTGCCTGGCTGAAAACTCCAAACAGACTCAGCTGATTTTGTTTTGGGGTCTCTATTCCTCTTGCCTGAGACAGACCCACCTAGTCAAACCCAGGTCCTGAGCGCCTGGCAGAAGTCAATGCTCTGATGGAGCTTCCATCCAGATGACGAGGGGAGACAGGCAGATGTCATCTGCAAATAAAGTCTTCAGCAGGTTCCATGGTGAAAATACGGGGAAGAGCACTTCCAGCCTTGATGCACCAGCTGGTCACTCACACAGCCATAGGCAGCTGCAGGAAGGCAGAGGTGAACAGTCCAGAGGGAGGCTGGGGAGCAGGTGGGGTAGCCCAGTGAGGTGAACCCTGAAAAGCCCCAGAGGAGGCTTCGGTAACAGGGAGCCCAGACTGTTGAGAGTGGGTGTATTTGAGCTAAGGTTTAAGCAGAATCTTAGCAAGAGGATTAAAGCGGGGACAGTTTGCGGGAGGGGGAATGGGTATGTTTTGATTGGAGAATGTGGGGGGCGTGAGTGGAAATGGTGGCTGATCACCCTGAAAGGTAAGAGCTTTGAGATTGATGGATTAAAACTCTCTCACCTTTATTTTATTATTTTTTAAAGGATTTATTTTTATTTATTTATGCAAGCACTGGGTACAGTCAGAAGCGCGGGAGGGTGAGAGAATTCACCAGAGCCAGAGCGGGGAGCAGAGCAGGCAGAAGGACCGAAGTACACTGCTGAGGGGAGCAGCGGGAGGCAGGAGAGGTCTGCGCGCCATGTGGGACCCTCCTCTGGTGGCCGGGGAGCAGCCGGGGATCGAACCGGCGCTGCAGAGGCTGCGGGCAGCTTCGCAACCCAGCGCTCAACCGCTGCGCCACCAGGGGAGGCCCAAAACTCTCTCACCTTTAAAGCACCGCACCTCGCGTACAAGAGGTATGCGCGCGCGTGCACAGACATGCAAACATAAACATACAGTTTCACCTTTGTGGTTTCCTTTGGGTGGGAGCCACATGGTGGCCACCTGGGTGTCCATGAGAGGATGGAGAAGGCCCCGCAGATAGTTGGCTGGCTTACGGGAGTACCCGATGAGAGTTACCACACAGAAGAGGCCCACTTGCCCACCCTCCTTTCCCCCTTCTCTCCTCTCCCAACCATCTGGGGACTGGCTCACTCCTGGTCTGCTTACCAAGTGCAAAATAACTATTAAACAATTCCAGCGCATTCCTGAGTTGTTGGCTGGAAAATGCTGGGTGAAATGAGGTCTATTTCTCAGACCCAGTGTCTCTTGGTATGTCCACTTCTGCCCTGGTCCTTTGCTATAATTACTTTCCTGATTACATTAAAAGCACAGGTCTGGAGCATGATTTAATTATTGCAGCCATCATTCCTCCTCTGGTTGTCGAGAGAAAATATTTTGCTTTTAAAATGATGCTTCCAGATGTCTGGTGGTAAAAAGAATGGCGCAGAACCAAATGTTTGGAAACTGAGTTTTCATTCTTTTCCTGCCCCTGCTGACTACATAGAAATCACAGAGCCTTCCACTCTTGATAAGCCTCAGGTGGCAGAGACGTGATGCTTGGCCCGTGTCTGAGCGTGGTATGTGCAGCTTGTTGACACACAACCCCCAAGGCCTGAGCAGAGGTGGTCAAGGTGTCTATCAAGGCAGGACGGTTTGAGACTCAGGCCCTGAGAGGGGTGTTTTGAGGTCCAGTGTCATCTCGTGATCTCATCTCCACCTGGGAAGCTTCCAGAGACCCTGCCAGCGAGGGAACTTGCAAGTGAGTTCAGAAAGGAAGAGGATGACAGTTCCAGTTTCTGACCACAGGAGTGTGGTGGGGCTTTTGAAGCTGTGATGTGCCGAGTCACACAGCGCATTGACTGGGTTGTACGAAACACCCTCTGAGTGGTAGCTGCTCACTTATCAAGTCAAAATTTCCTCAACTGTCTCCTGTAGGCCAACCGAGGGCCCTGGGAATGTATATTTGTGAACAAAACAGGCATGAACCCTGCTCTTGGGCATTTTAAGGGCCTGTGGGAGAGACAGGAAATTGTGAAGAAATAGGACCTGTTGCTGCCGTGGAGATGGAAGTCCTGGGGGTGGGAGGGGGGTTGCAGGAAGGAATGAATCTGGCACCTGGACGAACAGCCAGAAGACTGTGATTCTGAGGCATAGCATTTGAGGGGGCCAAGAGCACAGATGGAGAGGGCGAGGGGGCAGGCACCTGTCAGGTTTTCTAAGCTGAGGTAAGGAGATGGGATGCTAGTTTCAAACCGGGGGGTGGGGTTTGTCAAGATGTCTCTGTTGTCACTGTGTGTAAGATGGGTTGCAGGAGGGAAGCTGGAATCCCGGGTCCTGGTAGAGGTTCTGGGTTAGCATGTTTTTAAAAATAGAAAAATGAAAAAATGATGTAAAAATATATAAAATAAAATAAAATATTAAAAAATAGATGATGGTAATGAGGTGAAGGTAGTGGCAGTGAAGATGGAGAGGCTGTGGGTTTGAGACACATAGGCTGAGGGGGGCTGCGCTTCCTGCCTCATCTTTCACTCAGGACATAGCTATGTGATTTGCGTTGGACCATCGGTGTGGGCAGAAGTGAGTCTTAACTCTGACCCCAGACCAGAAGAGACTTTGCTTGATTTTGTTACCTTTTTATCCTTCAGTAATGCTTATAGATGATCTAGTTTAAGAGAGTCAGTTTCCTAACACAGGCAATTATGAACAGAACGTGGAGAAAACAGTAAGGATCTGTCTATACTTTGCTGTCTACACTTTGCTTCCACAGAGGTTCCCTGAAGGTTCTGACCTAGTTACTCTTCCAGGTTTCCTGCTGCCTGAGGCGGGTAGGGGGCAGCCATAATCGTCATGCATTGATTCATGATCTAGAATGCGTCTTTACCCACTATTGATTGAGGTGAGGCAGGAGGATGCAAATAACCCTCAAATTCTGTCTCTGGCTTGTTGTTAACTCTGTTCTCAAAACAAAAACAGGCTTAACTGCAGAATGGCCCAGAATTCAAGTGTCTTCTGCTCCTAGCACTTAATTTGATAAAGACTCCCCAAGTATAGCCTAGAAACCAAGGTATTATAGGAAATAAAAATCCAGTGACCACCTGAGCTCTTAGAACATGTACAAGCATAAGCAACGGATGGGAAACATTTAAAATCAATGCATAGAACTATAGAGAATAATCCTATTAAAATGCTTTATAAGTGCACTGAATAATGCTTTATAAATGCACTGAATAAACTCCAGAATAATGCATTGGAGGCTTTTGAGTGGCATTAGATTTTATTTTTACTTGCCTAAATTTTCTAATTTCTCCCAATGAATAGGGAAGATTTGGTAAGAATGATCAATTAAAACCTTAGCACTTTTTCACCTTGACTCAAAAGAAAAAAAAAAGACACAACCTATTTTAAAAATGTATTTGTCAGTTTCTTCAACTGACAAATTGCTAGCAATTTGTTAAGAAAGTCAAGTTTTTGGATGTTAGATTCCGTTGTGCAGCTGGAGGAAGTGAGGTTCCACCTTCCTGCTCCTGGGAGTGTGGGTCTGCCAGGGGGGAGGGCTGGCAGGCATCTGGGAAGCAGAAGGACTCGGAGGCAGGGAGCATGCTGACACCCCTTCCACCCCTTCAGGGATTTCACCGCTCCATTCTGGGACAGATACGGAAAATTCCTGGGACCTTGGAGGAAAGAGATGATTCTGGCTTTTACCCATTACATTCTAGCAAAAGTCACCTTCCTGCAAGCAGGTAAGAGCTCCCCGAGTTGAGCCATGTTGGCTAGGGGAGCAGTTTTGTTTTAAATTATTACAATTATGTTACTAATGATATATCATTATTTTACATCCTTGTTTGTTTTTTCACAAGATGAGATTTCTCCCCTCAGATGTGGTCCAGAGTCCTTGTGCTCACCTCTGCCCCTACCCTCAGCTTTCTCCCCTCCCCATCTTACCTCCCGGATACCTCAGATCTATCGTCAGCTTTTAAGGGTCGTTTTAAAGTTTGCTTCTCTGACCCTGTGTTTGGTTTCTCTGTAGTCCACCTATTAGTGAAAGCATCAGTATTTCTCTCCTTCAGGCTCACTTGGGCCCTTCCAGTTCCACCCACACGGGCAGCAGTTTTGTATGATGCCATTAGATGGCGCCAGAGGACCAGGGACGTGATCCCTGGTTAGGCTGTGATATGAGAAAGTCTGGAAATAAGAGTAGGAGATTGACAGCCGACGTCTAAAAATCAACAGTAGGGCTAAGGATGTGCCCTCTCCAACAGCTGGGAGCTTTTTATCTTATAATTTATTAGATAATATGTTCATGGTAAAAAATTT